CCACTGGTCCTCAGGTCTGTTTCTTTGTCAGTACTATGCTGTTTTTATCACAGTAGTTTTGTAAGTATAGTTTCAAGTTGGGAATTGCGATACCTCCTGCACAGTGGCGGGCTTCTGCCTTTGATCCTCTTCCCCTGCATTGTCTCAAGCTGCTAGCTTTCCTATTCTGTTGTTGTGCCATGTCAGCATCCTCTGAGACATCTTTAAAACACCTGAGATGTTTGCCTGGGCATACAGATTATCTCCCCAGGTACCAGTTATTGCTTTTATTCTGTAAACACTTGAATGGGTTGTGAGTGGTTGGCTCTCTCCCCACCGCCATCCTTATTATTTTTAGTGTGAGGTGTTTTCAGGAATGCACACATTCCATGTGAGCAGAAAATGCCTATATTTCCTTCTTGATACTTTTTCCTAAGAATATTTTAATCTGTTATTACTGTTATTTTTAACTGTGAACCCCAAATTCTTATAAATGGTGCTTATTTTTTAGAATTTGATTTCTTGAATTCATTCTGAGTCCTTGAAACGTTTGCTCTAGGCTGGGGATTTAGCTCAGTGGTACCACGTCTGCCTTGCAAGCGCAAGGTCCTGAGTTTGATCCCTGGTACCAAAAAAACTGAAAAAACAAAAAACCCAGAAACATTGTTTCAGTGCTCTCCATCCTTCAGTGATAAACTCTCACTGCTCCCTTTAGTTTTTTTGTGCATTTAATATGTGTACAAGGATGGGAAAGTCTTTGACATTTGAGAGTCTTCCATTAGAAGCACAGATGTAGTTTAAAAGCTTTTGTCTTTAAATATTAAGGATATTTCCTATATATTTTGATAAAAATCAACAGCATTAGCAAATTTTTGTTGCAGCAAATATATCAAAGTATAAGTTGGTTAATATCATGTAAGCATGCATATATTATGTCTAACAATTTCTAAGTGCATTTGTATTTATATGAAATGAATACATTTATGATTTTGACCATATGTAATTCTGATTTTGTTTTTTCTCCAGGAGGATCAGGATGAGAGTCAAGGCCTGGGCAAGAGAAAGAGGGTAAAACTAAGCAGTGGTACCAAAGGTATTTATATTTTGCTTTTTTCCTTTCAGCAGAATGCTTTAAAAAATGTTAATCACTATGACATCAGAGCTCTTTGAAGAGAGAGGCATGTTGTTAGATTTATCTAATAATGGAGAAAGTATGGTTAGCAGTGAGGACCTCAAAAGCTAGGAAAACTTTTATTATTGGGATTTTGTTCATTGTTTTCATTCATGAAATGTGCACTATTATATTTGAGCCAGAATTACTGAGTCTTTTCATTTGATTGACTCATACCTATTGGTTTTCTGTTTTTTTTTTTGTTTTGTTTGTTTGTTTGTTTTGGTACTGGGGATCGAACTCGGGCCCTTGCGCTTGCAAGGCAGGCAGTGGAACCACTGAGCTAAATCCCTGGCCCTCATATCTATTGTTTTTGATGTAAAGTTTTAGTTTGGTTTATGTCCTTTTGTAATCCAGGGCATACAATTTCTACAGTAAAGAAGGAGCAAGGGAAAGAAAGGGAGGAGAGAGACAGACATTATGAGAATGAGTGAATATCACTTAAAATAATAAGGGTTCATGAAGGGCATATAGGTGCCTATTGAAAGGAACAAGTAGAAATGTCTGTAGTAAAAGAATAGATTAGTAATCATAATGGGTCATATTTATCGAACCTTTTGTAGATGCTTGATATAGTGATGTACTTCCCTGCACTATTTAACAGAGTAACCATATGAAGCAAGCTTTAAGTATATAGATGGAAGAAAAGGCTTTTTTTTGGTACCGGGGATCGAACTCTGGTCCTTGTGCTTGTCCAGCAGGTGGTGAAACCACTGAGCTAAATCCCAGGCCGGAAAAGGCTTTTTGAATAAGAACCTCAGGAATTCTAGTAAGCTAGTGAGGTGTAGAGCTTGTACCTGCTTCCTAATTAAAACTTTTGTCTCAGTCATGTATTTATACCACAGAATGATTCTTTGAAAATCTTTTTTTATAATGTGACTTTAGGTAGTTCAGGCATTGTTGTAAAGTCACTACAAGATTTTAAAGGCATATAGCCAAACGTAACTAATAGAAACATTTTACACACACATAAATAAGACTCTTAGGTCTTATTTTTATTACTTTTTGGCTTTGAGTCTATCAGCATGTACCTGTGAATATATTTTTGCCTCATTTTTTGCAAGCTTAGTTTACTCTTGTTTTTAAATCATTGTCATGCCCCTGGAATGATCTGTTTCAGGAAGAAGAGATTTCTGTTTACAAGTAAAAAATTCTGGGGTTTGAAAATGATAGTACCTAATTTCCAATAAAGAGGTGACTAGCATAATTTCATTTATATACAAACCCCTGTTACATAGTACTTACACTGATGGTACCACAGGGGTTAGGAGATATTTTTGTCTTTCTGTAGTAAAAATCGTAGACTTTCCAGAACACATAAGACTTTTGGGAGCCATTTTCTTTTTTAGCTATTAATGAAAAAATTGGGTTAAAGTTAATACTAAATAGAACCAAGTCAAGCCTTAGCAAAGTGTTTTATAAATGAATCAAGATGAGGACAAGCTTATTTTGTTACTGTACTTGTACTGTTACCTGAGGTGATGTGGTTTGAACTTTTTGTGTGATAATCAAGAATGGTAAACTGGGGGAGGGTTAATAGAAAAAAATCCTGGAGCTGTACTGAGTGTATTGATGTGTGTAAGACTGTTTTCTTAATTTTCTTATCTAATTGTATCCTTTGCCTATGCAGTGTTACTGAGCCGGGCTATTCACAGTTGATACTGCTATGTTCTTGATGACCTTGTGTCATTTTCAAAGAAAAAAAAAATAGAAAAAACCAGTGAGAGACATAGATAGCAGAAATATTAAGAATATCCAGTTCATCATATACTTGTTGAGACTTTCTCTGACTAAGCATGGAAAGGATGCAGAGATTTGCAAGACAGTCTAGCCTTCAAGAAGTGACGTTGGCTTTAGAAATAGGGCTTCTACTAAGTAATGCTTTTCCCTTGGATTATTTATTCATAAGGGGCATCACCTCCCCTTTCTTCTATGCATGCATAAGGTTTCTTGAGCCCAGTGCATTTAGGCATAATTAAAACTCCTTATACTTTTTCAGGTAAAGTTTTACTAGAAGAAGTAATATACACTGTCAAGAATACATTAATAATTTTCTCTAGTGAAGTTAGTATCTCATTTATAAAGGCTAATTTTAAAGAAATGGAAACTTATCGAAACCTATAAATATTTCTGTCCTTTTCCCTAGAAATTACAAATTTAAAAATTAAATAACTTTGGATATTTTTATATCCTTAATAATATTTATATTTAGCTTAAAATTGTTAAAATTTTTATGTAACTATATTATATTAAAATAAATGATTAATTGTTTTATATGTCATGGAAATTTTAGAAATATAACTTGCTGGTATTACTGAAAGGGTATCCTTAATTTTTAGACATTTGTAGATGTTTGTATTGCCTTAATAATTATAGTAAGGTTTAAATGAGATGAGTAGCTGAAGTCTTCATTGCATGGTAAATTTTCTTTTCAGATCAATCCATAATGGATGTTTTAAAACATAAAAGTTTTCTAGAAGAACTATTGTTTTGGACAATAAAGTATGAATTCCCTCAGAAGATGGTAACTTTCTTACTCAACATGCTTCCAGATCAAGAATATAAGGTATCTGTGTTTTTTTCCTTCCTTTTGAACTTTGCTTCTTCACTATTATATATGTTTTTCGTATGTTTCTCAGATGAGGCTTATTTTATTATAGATCTGAGGTTGATATAGCACAGTGAGAGAAGATTAGCTTATTCTTTTGCTAACACAGGGTCTACACAGTAGTGTGGTACTTTACTTCTGTGGCAAAACAGCATTACAAGTTATCAAGGGAATGCTGAGGGACAAACATTTAAAACATAATTGCAGAAATGAATATTTAACTACCGATTGTTCTAAGTCCTCAAGGAGAAGTAGAGGGTGCTATAATACTGTTTAAAAGGACAAGTGAATTTAGATTGTGGAGTTAGCATGGGAAAAACATGGGATTAATAATTGCCACAGTTGTGAGAGAGAGCGGTTATGACTCAGGTGCAAATGCAGGTAGTTGAACTTTCTAGTCCCAGATTGTCTGGACCCAGCTGTTAGCACCATGTAGTTAGTTATGGCAAAGTGACATACCTTAGTGTATGAAAAGAACCTTAGAGTTTAGGTTAGGAGTGCTACTTTAATAGTCCCATTGTTTTGTGGGTCTTACACAGGCTAATATAATACAACAGGGAGAATGTACATGTTACAAATAAAGAAAATAAGAGTGAAAATAAGTAATACTTTAGAGCATTTAGTCTGATTATTCATCAGTTTTCAGATCAAATATGTTATTTCTTTTGGAGTCATCACAAATCCTCTGATGGTTTATAGTGAGACTAGGTTTTGTTGCTAAAGTAGGTAGCACAAAAAAAGATACATACATTGACATTAGTTAATTGATACAGTTGTAAGTAAAGTGCACTATTATAATCTTAAACCACACTATTCCACTTGGGAGGTTGAGGCAGGAGGATTCCTTTGTGTTTGAGGCCATAGTGAGTTCAAGGCCAGCCTGGACTGTATAGTGAGACCCTGTCTCAAGAAAACAGAAAGAAACAAAAAGCACCACATTGTTTATAATTGCTTTAAAACCCTAAATAATTTAAAATTCCTATTGAAACTTAAAATCATCAAAGTTTTTGCTAATGTCCCAAAAAAGATAAAATATGACTTAAAACTACCATCATTGTTGAATTATTTTTTCATTTACCTTGGGCATCATCACAAGCTAGTAATAGCTTTAAAATGCTGATATAATACATTGAAAAATATTTAAAATGTAAAGTTAATGTATTTTTTTCCTTAAAAATGTTTATAGGTTGCTTTTACAAAAACTTTTGTTCAGCATTATGCTTTCATTATGAAAACACTGAAGAAAAGTCATGAATCGGACACAATGTCCAACAGAATTGTGCATATTAGTGTTCAGTTGTTCAGCAATGAGGAGCTAGCCAGACAAGTGACAGAAGAATGTCAGTTGCTGGATATTATGGTCACTGTGCTGTTATACATGATGGAAAGTTGCCTTATTAAAAGTGAGCTGCAAGGTAAGCTCTGAATTATAGTAATTGGTTCTATTATTTGTGTATTTGCATATGTAGCCTTAAAAACATCTATATGCTTAAAAACAATTTTAAAATATTGTAAAAATACAGTAAATATTTGCAAAATAAAGTTTTGAAAAATTCTACTGAAGTTTAAAGGTATAGTTAAAATCATTTATAGTTTTATCATTCATAAATAACTTGTTAGCACTTTATAATTTCTATATTTTTTTGTGAAATAATATGTATAGATAAAATATATGATTAAAAAAAGTATTAACATGGGACTGAGTGTGTAATTTAGTGGTAGAGTACTTGCTTAGTATACATAAGACCCTGGGTTTGATCCCCAGCAGTGTTAAAAAAGAATTACCATATACACATGTCAATATGTATTTTAATAATTGTAGAATATCATATGGTTATATCATAATTCATTTAGCTGTTTCCTTATTAGACATGTTACTAATTTTTAAATCATAATTTTATGTATGCTTTAGATATTTTTATATGCTTATACTTCTATGATGTACACTTTTGAATAAATCTTGCCCTTTTTGTGTTCCCTTTGTGAAATTTTAATATTCTTCTTTTATGCCCACTATATGGTTTATATTCTGTGATCTGTCATTACATTTCTTTTTTTTTTTTCAGTACCAGGGATTGAGCTCAGGACTTTGTGCTTGCAATGCAGGTGCTGTGGCACTGAGCTAAATCCCCGACCCTGTCATAACGTTTCTGTAACTCCTATCAGATCTACTTCTCTGTGGTCTTTCTTCTTAATTTTCCTTAGTTTATATTATATAATTTGACTCTTTGCTATGTACCAGACACTGTGGCAAATATTCATGTGTTTTCTTTTTTTTTTTGGTACCGGGGATCAAACTTTGGTCCTTGCGCTTGGGCAGCAGGTGGCGAAACCACTGAGCTAAATCCCCGGCCCTTCATGTGTTTTCTCAATTAAACTTCTGAACATCTCTCTGAGATTGACATTTATTATCCTTGTTTTATTTACTTAGTTAAAAAAATTTTTTTGGTGGACTGGGGATTAAACCCAGGGGCATTTTACTGAGGTATGTTCCTCATCCTCCCACCCCTCTTTTTTTTTCTGTACAGGGGCTTGAATGCAAGGGTTTCACAACAAGTTACACCCCAAATTCTTTCTTTTTAAGGTCTTGGTAAGTTCCTATGTTGTCTAGGCTGGGCTGGAACTTGTGATTTTCCTGCCTTAGCCTCCTAGCACAGGTGTGCACCACCACTCCTGGCTACTTTTTGTCTTTTTATTTTGAGAAAGATCTTACTTAGGTACCCAGGCTAGGCTCAAACTTATGATCCTCCTAACTCAGCCTCCTGAGTAGTTGGGATTTCAGGTGTGTACCACCATGCCTAGTTACCCTCACTTTAAAGATGAGTATATTGAGTCTTAGGAAATTCAAGTCATTTGCTGTAGTTTACAGAGCTAGTAAATGACAAACCCAAGAGGGATTTCATGTCCCCCGGTGTCAGAGCCATTGTACTTTATGGTAACACAGCCAGGTCCACATTGAAAGGACTATGATTTCACTTACTGACACCTGGAGCTCAATTTTAAAAATAACAATGAGTAATACTTCCAGTTAAATCATAAAACTCTTCCATTCTCCAAGGAGAGATCTTATAGTTGAGGCTTGCCTTGTGCTAGTACTGTTTCCTTATGCATTTCAGCTCCTATTTTCTCATTATTTTGATAGTTTACTCAGATGTGACACCATATCCTGAAAATTGATACATTCTCAGTGCAGAACATAATGCTTCAGGTATAGTGATAGCTAGCTCCTTTCTCAGTACTTTATACACTTTATCTTGTTTACCTATCATTAATTTTGTGAAGCAGATATTGTTGGCTCCATATTATAGATGAGGAAACTATTTCTTAGAGAGTTGAAGTTGTTGGTCTGGGGTCCTGCAGCTGTGTGGTAAGGCTGGGTGTCTGACTTCAAAGCTATGTGCTTTCTTACCTGTTATGTGATTCTTTTTATTGTAGGTATAGTTAGAGTATAATGTATTATTTGCATTAAAGGATACACTTCTTTATTTTTTTAGAGAAAAATTCAAAGCTGCTTTGTATTATAGTTTTTTTTGTTTCGTGTAGCATTATCTATTTATTTCATGTAGGATTATTATTCTTTCTTAGTGATTTTAACTACATATATTGTTTTTTAAAATTGAAGTAGTATCTACCGTCATTCAGCTATGTCACTGATCTTATATAGAATTTAGAGAGTTCATACACATAATATTTTAAATTCATATACTAGAAATCTTAAAAAAATTTAGAAATATCTGTTCTTTTGAAAAGTATCTGGAGTCCATTTTACTGACTGATTTAATTGTGCTTATGTATGGTTTGCATTTTGTCTATAAAGAAGAATGTGAGGAAAAAGATGTGAGTGAGTCTGTCTACCCTTTTCTTCCTTTTTAATAGCTATCTTTCCTGAGAAATTTTTATACCTTTCAGTCACTCCCTAACCCACCTCAATTAACCTATCTCAATCTAGTGTTTGCTTCCATCACTCTATTAAAATTCCTGCCTACAAAAATTGTCTTGAATGGCCACATGTTAAATACATTACATTAGATAAATTACACTATCTTCAAGGAAAGGTCTACAACTATCTTTAGCAGTCTTCAGACTTTGCCACAGTGGTTTTTCCTCTTTCAGTAGTATCATAACATTTTATAATAAGTATGAAATAAATAAATAAGAATATTTATGAAATAAATATGAATAAGTATTTATTTATGAAAGCACCATGAGCGTTCCTCATTTTTGTATTAATGGAATTAGAATGAGCCTAAAATATTTGAGTAGCCACAGACATTCAAGAGGATCTTTATTTTTAAATTTTTATAATTTTCAAATAATCTCTAACCTTTTTCATTTATTCATTCACTCATTCATTAACTCATTCATTCATTGTGCTGAGGATTAAACCCAAGTCCTCACTTGCTAGGCAGGTGCTCTACCAGTGAGCTATATCTCCAGCCCCTAGACAGTGCTTTAAAATTTTATCTGTACTCTTAGTAAATATAGGAGCTGACTCAGTGAGAAACTTATATGGCCACAGCAATAGCCTAAGACTAAAAGGAAAAAGCCTTCTAGCAGTACATAATGCTTGCTTTACATTTTTTCTTTATATTAATTTCTACACCCAGTATCACTTTGTGATCCCAAACATAATTCATAATTTTCCATGTCCCTAAAAATTTACAGTTTGTCTTATGAAATATTTTGTGTACAATAGAATTTAAAATCATGCATTGCATAACCATGAGAATGTCTATAGATGCTAATAATCCCAGACTTATCTTCCATCCTGCAGATCAAACTACTTATTGGAAAATATTCTTTGGATGTCTGTAAGTACCTCAGACATACAGTGCACAGAGCAAAAACTCTTCATCAAGCCGGTTTCTTTTCTGTTACCCTGTGTGTATGCACACGAACATGTACCTGAGCATTCTCTGTATTTTTACATCATCATTTTTCTTCATCTCTATGTCATCATGCCACTCTTTAATAGTTCAAGCCATTGTCATCTCTAGGATTCTTTATCTATAATCACTTTAGTCCTTTAATCACTTATCATACTATGCAACTGATTATGTTCTGTCTCTTAAAAACCTCAGTGGCTTGCTGCGTTCTTTACCTGTACTCCATACTTATGAAGTGGTTTATGAGGCTCTCTAGTTTCATTTGTACCACCCATCCTCTGAATTCTTTGTCCAAGTGATTTCAACCTTCTGTTACATACTGTACCTTTATCTAGAACACCATTTGTTCCCATCCCTAGTTTATCTGGCTAATCCTGATTTGTTTCATTTTATAGATCTCAGTTCAGACATTACTGAAATGAAAGTCTGTTGATTGTGGACTCGTTTTATTTGTTAAGGTTTCATATACTTTCCATATTACAGCTTTTCTCACACTGACTTCTACATGTTAATCTCAGTGGAGAGTGACAGTATGTCTTGAATTTTTATTTTACCATTTTTGCCTTAGATTAGAATACCTGACCCTAAACAGGTGCTCAATAAATGTTTGTTAATGAGTGAATTTCATTTGACACTGAGTCATTATATCTGTGGGGTGGACAGTACCAGTTTGGGTAAAAATAGAAGTCCTAATTGTTCATTTCATGAAAGACTCCTGGGGATTTTTCACAAGAACAGTAGTATTTAAAGCACTGTCAAGAAAATAATGATTTTGATTATTTATATTCTGCTGATCCATCCCCTCATTTCAATTAAATAGGACAGTGATATATTCATCTCTTTCTCTCTCCCTCTCCTGCTCCCTCTCTCCCTCTCAGTTTTGTTAATCCCACATCCTCAGCATTGCCTCATCATTATCTGGCTTACCAGCTCACAGTGGTAGTAGCTGTCAGTCAGGAAGGTGCTTTTCAGAATCTTAGGTGTGGATAATTTCAGAAAGACTCCTTACTCCTGCTCCCCTATTTGGCTCCCCTCTTTCATCTCCTGACTTCAATGGATCCTCTTCCTATGCATTGTTAAACTTAAGATTTGGGTAAATGATTCCGTGGACTAAATGTAAACTTAGTATATTGAAATTAAGAAGTGCAGTAGAGGCCCCTCCTTACTGAGTTTGACAGGTAGGTTGATAATTGAAAAGTTCGTTCAAATTAAGAATCCTTTAAAAATGATGCATATGTACTTTTAACATTATATTTGAACATCAAACACAGTAATGCATATTCATTCTTCAGTCTTTTAACTTTGGACAAAACATTTTCAGGATATGGTTTCCTTTACTGAAGTTTTATCTTATATATACCAGATCTATAAATCATTTTTGAATTCTAGTTTCAATCTCTTTATTCATTAAAAAAATTTTTTTTGGTCTGGGTATTTAGCTCAGTGGTGCCCCCCGCCTGCCTTGCAAGTGCAAGATCCTGAGTTCGATTCCTGGTACCAAAAATTTTTTTTATTAGTATATGTTTGTGATATATGATATATTTGGTGTGGGGCATTGAATGTATTGCATCTTGATCCTTTTTACTTTCTGTTTCCTTCCTTTCCCTCCTGTCTTCCCCAGTTTTAATCTCTATAGGTAGAGTTAGAATATAAAGATCTTTATGAAGCATTCTGAGTGTAAAATATTTCTAGGCAAGTGATGGCGGACCTTTTAGAGCTTTCAATGACAACAAATAACTGGCTGTGGCATGCGTGCCATAGGTTTACCAACACTGTTCTAGGCTTTTTCATTTTCTGCTGTAAGGCTTTTAGCTGTACTTCTACACTTATTCTTATTACCACTTGAAAGCATATGATCCAATTTCTGTAGTATCTCTCCATATGAATTCATATTTAATTAGTTCATATAATTATGATAAAAGAACAATGTGAACAGAAATAAATATTGACTCTGGATAAACATCTCTCAGCTTGTGTGCATGTAAATAGACTACTAGTCTTGAGCATTCGGTGTATCATGGGTATTAGTTGTGGGGATGATGGGTTCCTAATGGGCAGATACTAATAAGTTTTGTTAATGAAGAATTTTGTGCAGCCTAGTATTTTTCTGAATCAATACTATATACTTTGAGGATTTTTTAAAGGCTTAAGTCTATGTATATTTTCATTTTTTATGTTGAAACATAACTGTTTGCTAAAAAGTTTTATTTGCATATTCTTTAAATAGGAAATACTTATATATCACTTGAAATCAGATTTGATTGATAAGATGGAATGAGATTAATCTAGGAGTAAAATCTTTTGTTGATTAGAATGGGAAGTGTATCATTAAGGCAAAGAAAGTATTTTTTTGGGGGTATGGGTTGAGACAAGGTCTCACTCTGTAATGCGGGCTGGCCTTGAACTCACTGTGTAGTCCAGCCTGACCTCAAACTCAGGGTGATCTTCCTGCCTCAGCCTCCCAAGGGCCCTGTGCCACCATGCCTAGCTAAGAAAGTGGTTTTATAAGCATACAGTAGCTCAATGTATATGTATATAATTTAATTTAAAGACGTGGTAATAATTACTATAATAGTGTGTTAAATATCATCTCATTTAAGATAACAATTTTTTTTTTGCCTCATTTTACAGATGAGGAAATTGACTCAGATTCTAAATAATAAGATGCCATACAAGGCTGAAGTTTGAAGTAGATGTCTGATTCTAACATGTATAACATTCTGTATTACTGGTAAAATCTTTTTTTTTTTTTTAAAGAAGTTATTTATTTTGGGTTATGTCTTTTTTAGATGAAGAAAATAGTTTACATGTGGTGGTGAATTGTGGAGAAGCATTACTGAAGAATAACACTTACTGGCCTCTTGTTAGTGATTTTATTAATATTCTTTCTCATCAAAGTGTTGCTAAGAGATTTTTGGAGGACCATGGTTTGTTAGTTACTTGGATGAACTTTGTATCTTTCTTTCAAGGTATGAATTTAATCTTTTTTATTTAGTTCACAACATGTCTAATGTTAAATATTAAATACTAATTAAGAGATAACAGCGTATCATTCAGGTTACACATAAATTTCACGTTTTGTTATTTGTGAGAACTTTAATAATAATTGTAAAAACATAGTAGGGCACCAGGAAAAATGTCAAATTATTAAAAAGAAACGAGTAATTTTTTAGCACCTCAAACCATTAATCTAGAAATGTGAACTGTTTTCCAAGAAAGATTTATACCATTTTTTTTTTGGTACCAGGTATCAAACTCGGGACCTTGCACTTGAGAGCCAGGCGGTGGCACCACTGAGCTAAATCCCTGGCCCAGTATACCACTTCAATAAAAATTTCAACTAGTGTCAGTTAAAATTGTTTTGACTGTCGGTTCTGCTGTCTGCCTCGCAAGTGTAAGGACCCGAGTTCGATCCCTGGTACCAAAAAAAAAAATTGTTTTGACTGTCTTAAATATATTCAATTATGCTATATGAGACATTTAGAAAGTGTTTCTAAGAAAACCTAGTTTGCAAAATATTCTTAAAGTACTAGATTATTTTTTCATATTTATTACTTTATTTCTATACTATACTATATTATTTATGGTCATGTATGGATAAAAATGTGTTGGGTACTGGGAAATGTTTTTCTTGATTTTTAGTCTGAATTCTTGCTTCTGTTCTACAAGGACTATATGTGTTCTAATTTTTGCAAGGTATGAACTTAAACAAGCGAGAGTTAAATGAACATGTTGAGTTTGAGTCTCAGACCTACTATGCTGCCTTTGCTGCTGAACTTGAGGCCTGTGCACAGCCAATGTGGGGACTTTTATCACACTGTAAAGTCAGGGTACGTTGGAAATTGTTTTGTTAATTTCTGTATTTATTTTAAAAATACTTATTTTAGAATCTGTTAGTGTGTTTACTTATATATGTGTTTAGTGTTTAATTCTATTTCATATTGAATTCAGCTTATGGGGAGCTGGACTGAGAGTAGCTTTTATTCTTAGGTAGGTTGAAGTTTATTTATGTCATCGGATTTCCCAGCCTGCCCATATTTGGAAGAGTCTTTGGAGCTTCATAATTCTCCACATTCCTTTTTATAGTTTCATTTTACCCCTTACCACTTACCTAATGCTTCTTCAAAAGATAAGGATAGTCCTCAATAAGTTTACAATTTTAAGAATCTAAGCACAAAATAAATCTCACACAACTTATAAACACAAACACACACACACACTGGTTTGATGGGTCTTTGGAAACTTTGGAAATTCAGAAAAATGGAATCCCCTCACCATGTAAAACTAAGGATTTGACTGAGATTTTGATATATGATCCTATGAAGTCCAGCCTTTTAACCTGTGTGCTGGACAAGATGTTATAGTGGAAATATTTTGAAGTTATTTGTTCTGTTGTTTCTACTTGACTTGATCACCCTATTTAAATTTACTTGAATTTCTCAGTTTCTTTATCATTTTACAAACAAAACAAAAGGGAATGGGTCAGCAAAACCTGCTCTGCTTCCCAGGTGTTCATGAGGCTCTTTTCCATTTGCCCTTTGAGTGTATGTGTTGCTTCATGTGTATTTATGTTTTCTCCTATCAGCTGCTCTTCTAAATGCAGATGCCTCACAACTATGTGATAATCTAATTAGATTCAAATTCTTAACAGTTTGAGAATATTCGTGTAAATTTCCTTTAGATATATGAATTTTCTCAGGTTCTTAATTATCTTAAAAAAATTTTTTTTTGTAAGTTTGGGGATTGAACTCAGGGCCTTGTGTATTCTAAGTAGGCACTGTTCTACTGAGCTACATCCCCAGTAGGCCCTTTCTTAAGTATTTTAAAATATTAAGGGATAATTAAAGAAATTATTGCCCAAATAGCTCACTTAGGAGACTATCAGACTTTTTTTTTTTTTTGGTACCGGGGATCGAACTCGGGATTTTGTGCTTGCAAGGCAGGCGCCGGAACCACTGAGCTAAATCCCTGGCCCTAGACTTTTAATACTAGATTAATGTCAGGTAGATTGGAGAAAAGGATGGCATTTCTAGAATTTTATCTTTGCTTTTGCTTTTTTTTTTGATACTGGGGATAGAACTCAGGACCTTGGGCTTGTGAGGCAGGCATGGCACCACTGAGCAATTTCCCCAGGCTTTAGCTTTGCTTTTTGAGAACAAAAACCTTTGCAAAACTTCCATCTAGTGGCGATTTTAAGTTACTGCAGAATTGATAGAAGTATCCAGTTTTAATTCTTGGGAGCACTTACACTTAACTATTTGGTAAGGGATAGATGTAGGCTATGACAGAGCATTTTTATGTACATTATTTTATTTGTGTATTCACAGCAATACAGGAGATATTATGCCCATTTTTACTTATGGAGAAACTGAGACTCAAAATTTACATAATTTGCTAACTGTCAAAACTAATGAGTAATAAATCAGTAGGCATGATAATGTTTTGGGGTATAGAAATATAGAGGGAAGAAAGACAGATAATCTGAACATAATTTTATTTTATTTTATTTTTTGAACATAATTTTAAAATATGATGTACTTGAATTCCAATTGGGCTAGGGATGTTTGTAGTTCAGTGGTGGAGTACTTGCCTAGTGTATGAGGCCCTGGGTTCAGTCCCCAACAGCACACACAGGCAACACACAGTGGGGAGTTCACTGATAATCTTTTTAAATACCCTTTTTTTTAGGGCAGTAATGGGTCTTAAACTATGAATTATCTGCCACATTAGTTTGATTATTTATGATAAGTCCCATTAAATTTTATTCAGTGAGTGGTGGGGAACAGAATGTGTGAAATAATGTTCTTATGAAGATAAATTGCATAGATGGAAACAGAAGGTTGACAAGATAAGTGATGCTTGGTTTGTGTGGTGCAGTGGAAATAGGCAAGAACCTATATGATAATGTCATGAACTAAGTGCACTTTGCCATTGAGCTACATCCCCAGCCCTTAAATTTTAAAAATTTGGATAAGATTGACATTAAATTCACCATTTTAACCATTTTAAGGTGTACAATTCAGTGGTTTGTAATGTGTTTCCAAAGTTGTACAACATTACCACTGTCCATGTTGCTGTCACCTCCAAAAGAAACTCTACCTACCGGGCTGGGGATATAGCTCAGTGTTCTGCCACCTGCCTAACAAGCACAAGGTCCCAAGTTCAATCCCTGGTACCAAAAAAATCCAAAAAAAAAAAAAAAACCCAAAGAAACTATGTACCTACCAATTCCAAATTCTTATCCCTTGGAAACCACTAATTCACCTCTGTCTCTATGAAAATCCTAATTTGGATTTTTCATATCAGTGGAATACTACCATATGTTAACTGTTGTGATTGGCTTTTACTTATGTAATGTTTTCAAGATTCAACTATGTTCTTGTATGTGTTAGCAATCTGTTCCTTTTTAATGGTGGAAAAATATTCCATCATATGATATTCCACATTTTGTCTATAAGGTGATGAACATTTGCATTGATTCTACTTTTTGTGACTGCTATGTATAATGTTATCGTGAGCATTTGCATGCAATTTTTGTGTGAACAGATGTTTTCAATTCTCTTGAGTATAATATATAGCAGTAGAATTGCTTAGTCATATGGTAACTTTAATTTACTGAGGAATCACCTAATTAATTTTCAAAGCAGCTGCACCATTTTCCGTTCTCACCAGCAGTGTATGAGAGTTCCAATTTCTCTACATTCTTTTAAACATTTTATTTTATATTTTTAAAATTACCACTTTCCTTATTGATGTGAAGTGGTATCTCATTGTGGCTTTGTTGAACATCTTTTCATGTACTTACTAACTATTTGTATATTTTCATGGGAGAAATGTCTATTTGAATCCTTTTTTTTATGAGAGCCTTGTTTTGATTTATATTTTCATTGAATTTAAGGCTTGCCTATTTCAGTGGATCCATTTTACCATAAAACATTTGCCTTAGTTACTTTTCTCATTGCTAGGCCAGAATACCTAACACTCAAAGTTAAAGGAGGAAAGGTTTATTTAGCTCACAGTTTGTAGAGGTTTCAGTTTATAATTGGCTGGCTCCAAGGCAGGGTGTCTTGGGAGAGGGACATCTCAGAAGAGAAGAGTTCATGGCATGCACAAGGTAGTGAAAACAAGGGACCTTAACAGCATCTTTCTGCCCTTTTATCTCATCCAGACCACTTAGGGTGGGTAGCACTTACACCCTTAATCCTAGTGCCCTTGATCCTAGCATTGCATTATCAATCAATCCCAGGATGACACACTAGATCCAGGCACCTCTGAAAAAGCCCCACCTATGACCACGTTAGGCTTTAGGGCTACATCTGAATATAAGCCATGACAGTATTATAATTGCCTTTCAGAGTACCCTGTTTCAAATGGCTTACAGTTATTTCTTCCTCTCAATTGTGTTGCCAGACATGATATCATAGGCTATTTACCATCTTCATATGTTCTGCCCTTCTTTTTTTTATTGTGTAAAATGTGAGCAGCAAAATTTACCACTTCAACCATTTTTAGGTACACAAGTCAATTACCTTAAGTACATTCACAGTGTCTATTTCTAATCATCATTGTCTGTTTCTAATACTTTTTCATTAGCCCCCCGAGATACTCTGTACCTGCTCAACAGTAGTAACATTAAAGAATTAATAATGTTTGGGGGAGTCTCTTGAAATGGAACCTAATTTGAATCTATTTAAATCTTTTTTAGTTTTGACTCATTCTTGGAAATATGTAAAAGGAAGCATATTGCATTCTTTAATTTTCATTTGTCACTGATTGTTACTCTTAGCTTATGAAGGGATGATTTCTTGAAGTAGCAGATATACAGGTTATCTTGAAAGTATATACATTTTACTGTTATGCATGCAATGCATATATTATGTATTACATATTTGATGTTGAATATATATATATACTATAAAATTTACATAAGTTATTATTTTAGGAAACTCAAGAATATACCCGAAATGTTGTAAGATATTGCCTTGAAGCTCTTCAAGACTGGTTTGATGCTATTAATTTTGTAGATGAGGTATGTATATTTTTGATATATGTAAAAGCACTTAAGAAAGAAGTGTTAGATCTCTCTCTCTCTTTTTTTTTTTGAGGTGGGGTCTCGCTATGCAGTTCAGGCTAGCCTTGAACTCATGGCAGTCCTCCTGCCTGAGCCTCCCGAGTGTTGAGACTACAGGCATGCGCCTGTACATGCCTGTACTACAGGCATGCCTGGCCTAGATCTTATTTAACACAGAAAATAATGAATACTTTGTGGATATTGGAAAAAATTCAATTAATATAATATTGTTAGGCTTTAACCACTTAACAGTTTACCTCAGCGTTACTTGGGCAGCGAGTTTGTTTACATACTGCCTATCCTGAGCGTCCTCGGGCAGGTGCCATTTCAACCAGTCAATTCTTGTATTGAAAAAATTTGATAAAATTGTCATTTTTTTTGTTTCTTGTTACATTGTCTCAAAAATTAATGAAAAATGTGATTTTTGGTCATCTTGTATTTAAATAATTGGACTGGTAAGTGATTAAAAAGGATAAAAGGATAGACCAGTTCTTTGACATTTAGATAATTCCACAGTACAGTAATCATGTGTGCTTATTTCCTAGAAAAATACACTATTTCCTTGAATTCAGCTGTTCTGTATGATTCTATCTTTAGCTCCATATTGTAAATTAATTTCATGCTGTTTACTACATAATCCTCTGTGTATAATTTTGCCCCACTTTACTTCTATTGTTTTAGTGATACTATCATTTCCACACTAATTTCTAGTTTTAAATACCTATGAGAACTAGGTTAAGAAAAGGTAAAGCTCCAGCTCATGTCTTAAGTGTGGACAGGGCAAAGGAATATAGCAGGCTGAAAATAGGGTGGAGCTCTTCTGAAACTGTGTTTTCTTGGGTGATTAACTGATTACTATTTAAGTAAAGTTTAAGCTTAAAGACCTATAATTAAACACCATAAGAATCAAAATGATTTGGTTAAGGCAGAATTCAAGATCCAAACGGACAAAATCCAGATTGTCCAGGTTGAAGGCTAAAAACACAAAAATGTTAAGGGGCTGGGTGTGAAAGATAAACTTTCAATTGTGGTAAAAACATATAAAATATAAATTATACCATTTAACCATTAAGTGCATAATTCAGTAGTATTAAAGTATATTGATATTGTGTAACCAATTTCCCAAACTTTTTTGTCTTGCAAAACTGAAATTCTATACCCATTAAATAACTACTCATTCTTCTCTCCACCAGCCCCTGGCCACCCTAATTGAATTTACTGTTTCTATAAATTTGAATACTCCAGATACCTCACATAAGTGGAATCATACAATATTTGTTTTTTTTTTTTTTTTTTTTTTGGTACCGGGGATGGAACTTGGGACCTTGCACTTTTGAGACAGGTGGCAGAACCACTGGCTAAATCCCTGGCCCTTTTTTTGTTTTTTTTTGAGATGAGTTCTTGTTATGTATTTCTGGCTGGCATTGAACTCATTGTGTAGCCCAGGCTGGTCTGGAACTCATGGTGATCCTCCTGCCTTGGCCTCCCAAGGGCTGAGATTACAGGCACAAGACACCAAACCTGGCTTTGTTTTTTTTTAAAAAATGAGATCTTATTACTTAGTCTGGTAATTACCTAGTCTTTAATGCTAACTCAGCCTCCCGAGTAATTGGATTACAGGTCATAACCATCATGCCTGACTATATTTGTCCTTTTATAACTGATTTATTTCGTTTAGTGTAAAATGTCTTTAAGGTTTACCTCTGCTTTAGTATGTATTGGATTTTCTTTTTATGGAGGGGAGGGTAAACTTTTATTTATAAGAAAAAGTTTTGCCGGGTGCGGTATTGCATGCCTGTAATCCCAGCATTTGGGAGGCTGAGGCAGGATAGCTTTGAGTTTGAGGTCAGCCAGATCTACATAGTAAATTCAAGGCCAGCCTGAACTACAAAGTGAGACCCCATCTCAAACAACAAAACAAAAAAGAACAACTTTCTGTATCTTTCACATTTTGAGGATCTTATTTTCATATTGGTTTGGAAAAAGGTAATTATTTCAGAGATGGTGTCATTTTGCCACTCCTTATAACTTCTATAAGGTTATCATTTTAACACAATTATGTAAATGTTCTGATAAAAATTTTAATAGGAGAATATTTACTAAAGTTTATAAAAACATTAAATTTATAAATTTTTCTTATTTGTATAAGAAGGAGAAGAATTATATACTTTTCCCCTATGGTGGTATCATGATCCATGGGATTCACAGATTTTAAAAACTGATTTTTAGAACATTCATGAGGGTGTTAAAGGTCTTTGACATATTTACAGGTTTGTTAGGTAGGTGGATGTGTTTGGCACTGGTATAAGGAGCATCTTACCCTGCTGGAGAGGAAACCTGAAGATACCTGGGTTCTGTGTTTCAGTTTAGAGCTATCAGAATCCTTTTACCAATCTGAATATAACAGTGGAGTCCATACCAGCTTCGTAGTTCACCATCTTTGAACTTTAGGAAATTATTTATGTTTCTAAGATTTTCCCTATTTGTAAAATGATATTAATATTTCCTACTCCTTAGCGCTCTTGTGAGGATGAAGTGAGGTGTTGTGTTTAGTGGGGTGATTGGCCATTAGTAAGTTTTCAGTGGATATTAGCTGCAATTATTATTCTTATCTCTGTCATGGCATTTGGTATGCACGTGTTGGAAAAGTTCCAGATGGATTGTTGTGGAGGGGACTGTGTTCCATCATTTGTTTCTGGAATGATCTTAATGAATCTGTGCTAGATGCTTCAGAAGGTTGAAAGATGGGTAGGTAGTATATACTTCCTGCCTTCAAGGAGCTTGTACTGAGGTATTTAAAATGGGAATAATTCTATAGAGATTTTGTTAAAGCTACACTTTCTAAAATTTTAAATTTTGATAAAAATAGCCTAGAAATATATTGAGGTGAGAATATTGTTATACTGTTTTAATTATATATATATATATAATTATATATATATACTGTTAGAAATTCTGTAAATATTGTTTGACTTGTGGATTTTGTTTCAGCCAGCACCTAACCAAGTCACTTTTCATCTGCCACTACATCGTTACTATGCTATGTTTTTGAGTAAGGTAAGACTGTCATTAAACAATTGTTTTGTTTAAAAACTTTTTTTTTTATTTTGGAAAAAATATTGAATTACTAACATTTGTATCACAATTCTTAGGCTGTGAAATGTCAAGAATTAGATTTGGATTCTGTTTTACCAGATCAGGAAATGTTAATGAAACTAATGATTCACCCACTCCAAATTCAAGTATGTATTTAGGCTTTTAAAATGTTTTGAGTTGGATTTCTTGGCTGTTCCTCCCTTATTTGTGTGTCTTTCTCATTGTTACTCTAACCGTAATGTTTGAAAACTTTTTTTAAAAAGTTGAATTTTTATATTTTTGCCAGATTATATTTAGGTATTTTTTTGTTCTATAAGATTTAGTTTTAATTTCCCTAGGAATTGCTTTAACATATTTAACACAATTTTGGGAGTCAGGTGATCAATGAGTTCTAGCTTCAAGCTACCAATATTTTATTTTCTACATAGTTGGGGTTAAATTCCTTGTTTGGGTCTTAGTTTTCTCTCGTGTAATTTGAGAAGAGAAGAGAGAAGAATTAGCTTGAGTGAGAACTGTGATTTCTTTGGTTTTCACGCTAATTTTGTGGCCCAAACTTTTATATACATTTAGACAGGCTTGTGTTTCAATGTATTTTTTCTGCTCATTTTAGATTAGTTTTGAACTTCTACTCTAGGGGTTAAGAACAAGTAAAAGGTAAAGTTATGACTGCTTAGTTTTAATTGATACTGGGCATAAATGCATCAATTATTAATTAGTAAGAAAATTCTAATATATGATTTGTTTTTTAATCTTCAGTTATTTGGAAGATGTTTAGCTTGAAATTTGAGTTAGGTTGAATTAAAGATGTAGCATGTATTCATTGACTTTGGACAGTTAGTTTTATACTTATAACATTGTGTTTTTTTAGGCATTGTGTATACATCTCCCTTTTTTTTGAGGAAGAAGTTGAGAGAAAAATGAGCATTGATTTCTTATGAAAGATTTCAGTGAAGTTATTATAAATGTATACAGAGGCCATCATGGAAAATTAACTCATGTATAAACTCTAGAAAAGGTGGCTATCTAAAGTGCCATTTTTGGGCCAGGGATTTAGCTCAGTGGTTTTGCTGCCTGCTGTGCAAGCACAAGGACCCGAGTTCGATCCTTGGTACCAAAAAAAAAAGTGCCATTTTTATTTTGAAAGTTTAAAAATATGAGACAGGTGTAGTGATGCATGCCGATAATGTTAGCACTCTGGGAGGCTGAAACAGGAGGATCATAAATTCAAGTCCAGACTAAGACCCTGCCCCCCCAAAATAAAAAACCAAATAGATAAAAAACCAATCCAGATAATTCCCTTGCTAACAAAACAAAACAAAACAAAACAAAACCCAAACAACAGCCATAACAACAATACCACCACCACCAAAACCGAAAAAAACCAATAGAACTGAATTTCATTGGACAGGATGTCAGGCTTATATTATGATAAAGTTCTAAAATTATTTAATACAATTTTATAAAGATTGATTTATTCTCAAATTAACTTTTCATTAGGCAAGTCTTGCTGAAATCCACAGCAATATGTGGGTAAGAAATGGCCTACAAATCAAAGGACAAGCCATGACCTATGTCCAGTCTCATTTCTGTAATTCTATGATTGATCCTGACATTTACCTATTACAGGTAAGCAACTTGATAGTGCAGATGTTGAAGCTTTGAAGTGTCTCATTTGTATCTATGGGGTTTTAATTTACAAAGATGAGTGAGTGATGACATACAGAGGGCAGCGACATTGCAACAAGAATTTGTGACTTAAATTTCCCAAGGGAAGGGTATAGGCCATATCAATAGGGCCACAAAGGAAGCATCAGATTTTGGCCAGGAGGCAGAAGCAGGGGTGAGAAAGCCTAGGTCTGTGCCATTTGTGGAGTTTAGCAGGAAAGGCAAGGTAGAGCAGGGGAGGCAGTTTAGACTTGGCTAGCTTGAATAATTCTGGTGAGCTTTGGTGCATGGGGGCTAAGAGATGTCTGTTACTTGGCCTTGATTTACAGCAGGGGAAAATTGGGTTGGTGTGTGAGAGTTAGTTGGATAAAGGGGTGGTTGGCTTGCTGGAGGGGCATGTTCTCAAGCAAGGTTTTACTGTTCAGGAATTAGCTATTTTGGGGAGGGGCACTCTCTTCCCAGGTCTATAAGGCCCCCGAATATGTCAGAAGATAAAACATGGAGAATATTTTTAAAAAAGACATTAAGAAGTAAAACTGAATATGGAGAAGTGCAGCTTTTTTCTTCTTTTAAAGGTTTGTGCTTCTAGACTTGACCCAGATTATTTTATATCATCTGTCTTTGAAAGGTAAGCATAATTTTATTAAGACAGGTGTCTGGAATTTAAGTTAATTTTGTTTTAACTTCTAAAAATCTATCTAAAATATTAAAATATTTCATTACAATATTTCATCTTATAGATTTAAGGTGGTAGATTTATTGACAATGGCATCACAACATCAAAACACAGTACTTGATGCGGAGCACGAGAGATCCATGTTAGAAGGCGCTCTTACGTTCCTTGTGATTCTTTTGAGTCTTCGTTTACATTTAGGTAAAAACCACAAACACTAATAATACTTAAATACTTTCTCTTCTCTATTTTCTTCCTTTCCCTGTGGTAACTGCCTTATGGAAAATGGAAAGGATGTGGATATATATTTAAACATAATTTAAAAGTCTTAATGTGTTGTATAATTGCTGTATCTTTGGAATAGCCTCTTGTTTTATGGTACTGGGGATTGAACCTGGGACCTCTTTGCACTGAGCTACATTCCCAGTCCTTTCTTATTTTTCATTTTGAGAAGGTCTCACTAAATTGGGATTCTCCTCCCTCAGCCTCCCAGAATGCTGGGATTATATAGGGTTGTGACATCAAGCCCAGCTGGAACAGCCTTTAAAAATGTCTTTGCTTAAGGGAACTTCAAATATCAGGGTAAACCAGTTAAATTTGGGGCATTGGAGCCTGGTCTTTAATTTTAGGCATCTCATATTTGGTAAAACAACTGAATAAAATGTGTGGTAAGTTCTTTCTTTATATCTTTTTATATATTCAGATTTATTCTGTTTGTAATAATTCTAGGAATGTCTGATGATGAGATTCTCAGGGCCGAGATGGTAGCCCAGCTGTGTATGAATGACAGGACACATAGCTCATTGCTGGACCTCATATCCTTTTAAAAGTTAAATTTTCTATTTCAGGATCTAAAATAACATGATTTTTATGGATTATATCAGTCTTTTAAGATTAATTTTGTGGCACTAGGGATTTTGTGGTATTGGGAATTTTTTGTGGTATAAGGGTACTCTACAACTAAGCTACATCTCTAGCCCTTTTTATTTTTATTTTGAGAGATAGAGTCTTAAATTCCCTAGGCTTTCCTTGAATTTGTGATTCTCCTGCCTTGGCCTCCTGAATACCTGGGACTACATGCTGCCCACCCCCCCACTCCCCCCATCATACTTGAAAAATAATGTGGATAAAGAAGAATGCCAATTATTTACTCAAGTATGTGTTCACAGCTAGTGATGGATATTTTTACCTCTTATTGCTACCTCTCCAGGAGGCTCTCCTTAGGCTCAGGGCTGATGGCTTTGAACACCCCAGGATCTAACTTTCTGGAACAACATTAGTGAAAGGAAGCTGGGTATTTTGTACAAAATAACTAAGTCTACTGTGTAGACAGGTCGGAATTCTGGTTAACAATTAGAGGTATGAATTATAGTTATTATCAGGGTTTTAAATATTGTGAGGATGTTTTTGGTTGGAATTCAATATTAAAGAATTTTGAAGTTTGTAGATTGACTATAAACTGGAAACTTGTGGTTCTTTGTGTAAGACTCAACATAGGATGGGTACTTTTTAGTTAATGAAATTTTAAAGATTATAGTGTTTTATGATGAAAATATTTGGGTACAGTTTGTATGTGTATTCTGACTGGAAGAATTGGCTGAAATTTGGGTTTTGTAAAATAACTCCTCTTAGGTTGCTTATTTGACTACCTTTGAAAACTCATAAGCAACATCAATTTGATGTTATTTAATAATTTCATTAACCATTATAGATTGTGTATCATTGCTGCTACAGAGCAAAAATATCTTTATAGTTTTGAATTTAAGAAGAATTAGATACTTTAATATGAAACAAAGAAGAGGATCTTTGTGTTTTGATTTCCTTCTTAAATCTGCTTTGTATCTTTTTACCTTGGGGAAATTTTTTGTTTTTAGGAAAATAATCTTTTCTCATAAAAATAAAAATATTGACTAATTTTTTTGCATATTCTTTTGGTTTAAAAATGATATAAGATATTTTTTAAAATCCTGATTAATAGTTATTAAACTGTTTTATAGACCACTCGTGGCCAACTTTATATATAACAACTAATTATTCTGTAGCTTAGTAAAATCAATTAGAAAACTAAAATATTTTGGGAAGGCTGTGAAACTGGCTTTCAATCATTAAAAATTTTTCTTGACACATATATTATATTCCAGAAAATCCCAATCCCAAAAGTGGCATCATCCCAGGCAGTTATAGCTTTGAGTCAGTTTTATCAACTGTAGCTGATTTTAAGGCTCCTGTTTTTGAACCTGGAGGTTCCATGCAACAAGGCATGTATACTCCCAAAGGTATGTTTCTATATACATGTGCTTTTGTCAGAATCTCTGTGGGTGGAATCTGGGAATTGCTTTTTAAACGTGCTCTATATATAGTTAGGCACAATAGAGTTTGGTACAGATTAGTACCATGGTTAACAGTTTCTTGTAGAAAGTTGAAATTCACTTAGGCTTTTTATACTGTTTTCAAATGTTAAGAATGTTGCTAGAGGGCTGGGGATTTAGCTCAGTGGTTTTGCTGACTGCTGCGCAAGCGCAAGGACCCGAGTTCAATCCCTGGTACCAAAAAAAAAAAAAAAGAATTTTGCTAGAGAGAATGAAAAGAAAACATCTTAACCTTATATATTCATAAGGCAATGGTTTTTAAAATTGTTATTCTCAAGCCACCTTTTAGATTTTTGCTTAGCCTAAGTATCATCTTTACTATTATGTACTGCACTTAATATTCTTAAATGAATTAACTTAAAAACTTTCACCTCATCCTAAACATGATTATTGAGTTCATGAGTTTTATTTACAATTTATAATTTTCTATACACATTAAAATAAATTATGTAATTATTAAAATAAAAAGCTATATACACTTAAAATTATCTTTGCACCACCCCTTGTACACATAAACACAGAATCATAGTTTCAAATTATGCAGCACGTAAAAACAATTACTAATTTTAGCAAAGGTCAATCAAATCTTTTATATACAAAAAAAGGTTTATTGAGGCTTGAAATTCAATGGCTCATTATTATTTAATCTAGTTTTTGTTTTTATCTTTGAATACTTCTGTAGGTGTTAATGTACTTTCTTTCTTACTTTCTAGTAGGCACCTTACCAAAAACAAGAACAATGAACTATACTTTTATGGTGGGACATTATTATATCATAAAAGTTTTGCTCACTTGTGCTTGTGCAACTCGAGAACATTCATAATGCTGAAATTGTGATTTTTGACTTAGAAAAGTAATCACAATATCAAGCTTACTAAGGCAAATGTAATAAAATTGTACTATTCCATTTTTTGAATTTAAAATGTACTTAACAAATATAATAAGTCATTGATAGAGATTGACTTTCTTCCTAAGAAGTCAGTGTTCTGTTTCTCCTTTGTTTGGATAATAGCTGAAGTCTGGGATCAGGAATTTGACCCCGTCATGGTCATTCTTCGAACAGTTTACCGTAGAGATGTACAGTCTGCAATGGACAGATACACAGCATTGTAAGTCCATCAAATTGATCAACAGTGAAATGGAATATTTTGTGTTTGTATAGAACAATTTCAGTTATCACAGATATAATATGCTTTCATTAAAGTATACTCTCAATTCTAGAGGTTTTAAAAATCAATTTAGCTGAAAGTTATCTTCTTAAGATTTTTATCCAGAATTTGTTGTAAATTGTGTAGAACATGATTTCTGAATCAAAATATAGAAATTTGATGACTATTTGATCAAGAGAATTTGAGACTTAATTTTGTGTTCTACTTTTGAGCCAGTAGAGGAGGCACAAGCTAAGAAAATAAAATTGTCTGACAACAGAGATGATAATTAACATCTACAAAAAATGTAGTGGTGTGTTAACAACTAAAAAAAAAGTAGTGGTGTGTTAACAACTAAGAAAATAGCCAAAACAAAGTGAATTCTACTTACCCATTTTATTTAAAAAGAAGTTTAAAATGTTGAAGATGTCAGAAAATAAGTTTCAAATGATATCTATAATGAATTTGATTTTATACTTTTTGTAAATTGTGGGCTATTTTTTAATTTTCATTAAGTTTATGGGTACATTTTAAGTATAAAATACTGTGGGCTATTTTTAATATATTATTTCCATCTCTTTTTAAACCATAGTATTTAATATCATATTGCTGAAGATTAACATCTTTTATTGGTGGTTTTCTTTTTCTTTTTGTAATACTGGGGATTTAACCCAGGGTCTTCACATTGAAAACCATCCACCTTTAAAGTTTTGAGATAGGCCTCGCAAGCACAAGGTCCCAAGTTAGATCCCCGGTACCAAAAAATAAATTTTGGGGGGCGGTTACTGGGGATTGAACTTGGGTCTTTGCGCCTGTGACAGATGGCAGGCGGCAGAACCACTGAGTTAAATCCCCAGCCCCTAAAAATAAAACTTTTTGAGATAGGATCTCACTAAGTCTTGTAGGCTTGAACTTGTAATCCTCTTGTGTTAGACTCCCAGAGTATTAGGAGTACAGCATTTACTACCATGTCCAGCTTATTTGTGCTTTTTCAAAGTTTAAATTAAAATTTACAAAAACAAGTTTTAAATTATGCAAATATATTTGATCTTCAGAAAAACCATCAAAGTGTAATTATAGATATCAGGTTTAGCATCTCAGACTATCTAGTCTGAGGTTCTCTTTTCTGTTTTCGTAGTTACCTTTTTTATGCTTTTCATGTGTGTTTGTAATGTTTTCTTTGCTTATAGGTTTTTACTACACTTAGCTCCTTGAGGGAAGATACGTCTTCAATACTTGTTTCAACATTGGCACATAGTAGACATTCAGAATATATTTGTTGAATGAGGAAATTTGAGTAGTTCATGTTGAAAAATTAAAAAATGGGTGAGAGGAAGTATTTGCATGGAAGTCCTAAAGTGAATTTCCCTTTGTCTAAAGTTGTTCTGCCCTTTTCAGGGTGGTGATAGTATTGGCTAGTGGTTAGTCATTTTGAATATATAAGAGTTAAATATATAGTGAATTTAATATTGTCTTTTATTTTTGTAACTGATAGCAATTTGGACTGAAGTTAGGCTGAGACAGTCAGAGCTTTGAAGGTGTCCTTTGCTGCCCGCTTTGCAAGCACAGGGACCTGAGTTTGATCCCCAGTACCAAAAAAAAAAAGTGCCTGGCAAGCGAAAGGTCCTGAATTCTATCCCAGGGTAAAAAGAAAAAAAAATAAAAGTAAACCATTTTAAAGGGGAAGTTTTATTAACAGTACTCATTTATTAGGTGCTTCTTATATGTCATATAATCTAAAAGAAAAAGAGAGTTGTATCTTTTATTTTTCACTTAGCAAACTTTTCATTTCTGAGCAGTTTATTTCCCTTTTCGAGCAGTGGTTCTTAACTATGGATGATTTTTGTCTCCCAGGGAACTTGGCAATGCCTGAAGACTGGTAGGGTTGCTACTGACATCTAATACTGGCTAGGTCTGTCTCCCACCACCAAGAATTATCTTACCCCAAATGTCACTTGTGCCAATGTTGAGAAATCTGGTTTAGACTCTATATATGTGATATGTTATTTATACCTATATGTGATATAGGTATACTTTTTTGGAGGAATCCTGGGCTTCCTAATTATTTTGTGTTATTGTATATATCTGTTTCATATTTTGATTTATAGCTACTTCACCTAATCAGATAAATCGTATTCACAAAACTACTTTTATTTTATTTTATTTTTTTGTTTTTTTTGGTACTGGGGATCGAACTTGGGTCCTTGCACTTGTGAGGCAGGTGGTGGAACCACTGAGCTAAATCCCCGGCCTGCAAAACTACTTTTATCAATTTTTTATATTTTTATATTTTGCCCTGTTTTTCCTAATTCTCTCATTTTCCTCAACTTGGCTTTTGACTTTCTGTACAATTTAAAAAATTTTCTTAGAAATATTTCTGAAGTGCTATGTTTCTTAGCAGGTGAAAAGCTATATTTTAAAAGAAATTTGTAGTAAAAGCAGTAAGATCAGATTTACTTTAAGCTTTACTCTAAAATCCTTTCCTTTCTTGTAAATTAATCTTTGAAATTCAATGTGAAAGCCATGTTTTTCACCTGATAACATTTTGTGAGTGGCACATGCCTGTAGTCCCAGCACTGGGGAGGTTGAGGAATGAGGATCATTACAAGTTCAAGGCCAGTTTGGGCTACATAGTGAGTTCAAGGCTAGCCTTAACTATACATAGCAAGACCCTATCTCAAAAAACAGAACAAACAACAACAACAACAACAACAAAAAAAACCCAAAAACATTTCGTGTACTTAGCTGTGAAGAAATGTGTTCATTTCTGTGTAAAATTTGAATTTTTTGAAATTCAGTTTATGCAAAATACAGCATCTGTATCCTTTATGAGGTATATTTTATTGTACATTTGTTCCAGTTCTTATTAGAATAGTAGATTACCTCTACTATTTTGGCAGATTACCTAAACTATAGGATTTACTGGCTTTTGGTCATTTTGTTCGTCTTTTGGTTTTAAGGGACAAAAAGTTGGTTAACTGATTTTACTTAGGTCCATTTATATTTGCAGGAAGACAATAGTAGGGACTTTTGAAGAATAATAGCAAGAAATGGTTGATAAACTAAAACGATTGCATCCTCAGAATCTATAACTTGGTGTAAGGCACTTTGTAGGCAGTCAGTAAATGTTTGTTTGATGCATGAAAAGTAAGTTCGTTTAATTTTTGTGCTGAGAATTGGAGTGAAAACAAGCTGTTTGCTTTATGTGATGTTAGGTGTTCAGAGTCTTAGGATGTTATTGCTGGAAAAGCCCTTCCAGTTTAGTGCGTGTTCCATGACAATGTCTCATGGGCCCACACTGGGAGAGGGGTGGGGCAAAAGCAAAAGAAGGCTGCCCAAGTGGATGGGACTCATCCTCCTTCCCACGCTCCTTCCCAGATACCCTTTAATGGATTGTTCAGCTCTTAAAAAGAAAACAAACAACAACAATAACAAAAGAAAACCAACAGTTGGAAAACTACCCAGTCATTGTTATATTTATATGCTTGAAGACGTTTTGGCCCAGAGAAGCTCAACTAAATATTCTTATTAATGGCCATGCTAGAACTATGGTTGCTAGGCCTTTCACAAAAACAAAGATGATTTTATATAGTAGCTGTTTATATTCAAATGGAAAGTAAATTTTTTTTAATAATTTCTGTTGCTAGCTCATCTTGAAACTTAATGGCTGCTGCCCCATGTTTGAAAGTATGATATATGACTTTATCAGTTTTGTCTTAACTGGTCAATAATTAGGAGTTGGTTTGAATCACAAATTTTTTTCTTTTTGCTGTCATATAGCATTTCATTTACATGATTCCATTAATTCTTTTGAAAATTCTTTTGATGTATTACCTGCTGCCTTGAACAAATATATAACCTTTATTTTCTAATGTTTTATTAATCTAGGTGCTGGATATTTAGGGACTAGTGCTTAAAGCAAACAAAGAAACAAAAACCAAAAATTTTCCTTTCTTTGCCAAATGCAATAAAATAGTTGAAGTATTTCCTTATAAGCTATTGGGATTGCTTTGAACGATCTATCTATCTATATATTTATCACTATAGTGTTGTGTAGGGGACAGATTTTTAAAGATACAAAGTTAATTTTATGGTATTCATTTTATGACTAATAGATGCTGTTCACTTCTCTGGTATGTTTACAGTAGTTAGTGTTTTTTGTTTTTTTTTCCCCAGTAGGTATTCGTTCTCTCATTCATATTCTGTCTCTCTCTCTCTCTGTTGCTCTCTCTCTTTTGCAATGTTGGGTATTGAACCCAGGGTCTTTGCACTGAGCTACATTTCCAGCCTTTTACAATTTTTTTATTTTGAGACGGTCTTGCTAAGTTGCTGAGTTGCTCAGGCTGGGTTTGAACTTGTGATCCTCTTGCCTAAGCATCCCAGAAATCTGGGATCACAAGTGTGTGCCACCACACTTTTTTGAGATGTAGTCACTCCCCCTGCCTCAGTCTTCTGTGTAGCTGGGATTACAGGCATATGCTACCACGCCTGGTGATAGTTTTTTTTTTTTTATTTGTAAGATTCCCCCCCCCCCCCGTCTATATAGTACCTCTTTATCTATTGTTTGGTCTCTAGCTTTCATATGAGAGTCATTCCTCAGATGTCTGATAATTCTGGCTTTTTGTTATCAAGAGCTCTGATTGGGCTGGTGAAGCTTATAGAGTTGAATTTTAATATAGGGTGATTTAGGCAAGTAGATTTCTTGAGACGCTTTCAATTCATCTTTTCTTCTTTTTATTCTGGTCTGATTTCTCAGAGAAGTGTCTTCAAATAATGCCCAGAAGTTAAGGGTCTTGCTGCCATTATTCTTTGAACTGAGTGGGAGACAAGATCATGGGATTCAGAATTAAACTTGTATACCACGATTTTAAACCCCTCGCTCTCAAACCCTTAACCTGTGCTTAGCATTGTGAGCTCTTCAGGCAAAATTCTGTTGGCAGTGGTAGAGAGGTAGTTTTCACCCAGTCCTCTCCACCTGTAGTTACTCAGGTACCAGGTGCTGCTGGTTTCTTTGCCCATTTTTTAAATTGGACTTTTATTATTGAGTCTTAAGACCTCTTTGTGTATTCTGAACAGTAGGCTTATCAGATAAATGATTTGGAAATATTTTCTACCATTTGTGGATGGACTTTTCACTTTCTTGAGAGTATTCTTTGAAATACTAATGTTAAAATTAAAATTTTACTTTAAAAAATTTTACTTTTTTGGACTCTCAGAAGTATATTAATATCCTTAACAACAGTTGTGGATTTGTCAGTTTGCCCTTGTAATTCTGTCAAATTTTGCCTTTTGTGTTTTGAGTCTGCTGTTGTTTGCCACCAAGTTGTAATTATTATCTTCACGGGGAGTCTGTTGTTCTTCCATCCCAAAAGAGACAAATTTCTTATTTCTGCTTGTGAGTTGTCTTCCTCATTGAGGTCAAACACTTTCAAAGGTCTCAGCTTTGGGGTGTGTGTGTGTAGGGATCTTAGTTCTATCTCTGAGCCTTGTTTGAGCCCAACAACTTGTCCTGTGCCTGTTCAAGGATGAAACCATTGGCACAGTGTTACAGCTTATTATTCCTTTTTTTTCTGATAGTAGAAAACCCCACTGTTTTGGTGAGTTCAAATATGTATTCAAAAGATTACATTTTATACAGTTTTTCTAGCCATTGGTGGTAGGAGAATTTTCAAGTCATCTATTTTGCTCTGTTGTTAGAATAGGAAATTCTATTGGTGAGTAGTTTATTTTGTATTTTTGTTGTTGTTCATTTTTTTCTGTTAGCTGTTTCTGGTTTCTTTTTGGATTTAGAAGTCTCACTATGTTGCCCAGGCAGTTCTTGAATCCTGGGCTCAAGTGATCCTCCTGTCTCAAGCCTCCTGAAGAGCCAGGGCTACAGGCACATGCCACTGTGCCTGTCCTATTTTTAGCAATTTTACTTTCATATTTCTTTCTAGTTTTCAGCTTAGGTCTTTTTAAAAATAATTGTTTATCTATGAAAAACAGTACAATTTCATAACAAAGTAATAGAATTACAACAGTTAATATAACTTGGCTCTTTCTATGCATTTTTATCCTATAAAAAAGAGAATGGTTATGTTTATTTGTAGAGGATAGATATCTGATTGGTTTTTTTTGTTGTTGTTGTTTGTTTGTTTTTTGGTACTGGGGATTGAACTCAGGTCCTTGTGCTTGTGCAGCAGGCGGCAAAACCACTGAGCTAAATCCCTGGCCCTCTGGTATTTTTAAGCAACTATGTAGAAAAGTTAGAAATTGATGTCTATAAATTGTTATTTAAATCAAAGTTTAATTTTGAGTCTGTAATCTAATTTTAGTTCTATTTTATTTTTACAGTTTAAAACAGAGTGGAAAATTCCCTGGAAATCCCTGGCCTCCTTATAAGAAAAGGACATCACTTCATCCTAGCTATAAAGGTCTCATGAGACTTTTGCACTGTAAAACTTTACACATTGTGCTATTCACTCTACTTTACAAGGTACAGTAGTAATTTGAATAAAAAAATAAAGGTTTATTTTCATAATATTCAAATAAAAATGCCTAGGGATAATATTCACGTACACTGATAAAGTGTATTTATAAATCAAAGGTATATAAGGAAGTTGTAATCGCATATATGTGAATTCTAAGTTGAAAATATCAAAATGGCTACACCTTTCTTTGTGAGAAACTATTTATCTTTTTCAGCTTTAGATAGAAGTATTTTTTTATGCCTTCTGTAGAACAAGAAGTGAAATGTTCTAAAACTTTAAGAGTTATTAAATGAACAGAGAGGCTAAGCAAGCCCCCAACCCTCTACGACAGCAGCCTTTGGGCCAGTGACCTTGGTTTAGGTCTCTCTCCTTTTGGCCTCTGATTAGGAATGTGGCATAGAGGGATTTGAGTGGGCTCCTATGAGGAGGCCTCAAAAACTTGTTTTTGGTAAACATCTTACAAACAAAAAAAAATGTTTTACTTCTTACTTAGAATTTGTTTTTTTCTTGGGTCTTCCTGTGCAAGACCGACTTATTTGGCTAATATTAATTGTGGCCTCAAAAGTTGTATGAAGTATATAATATTGTGGGATCTCTACCTACCTGGGATTTTTGTGATCTTACCTAGATAAGGGATGGAAGATAAAACAATTATACTCAATGTTATATAGATAAAATAACTATAAACATATGTAACTGCAAACATCACAAATATACAATGAGATATAAAGAAAACCTATTGTTTATTTATTTCGAATCTGAAAAATTAAAAGTTAAAAGAAATTCAAAGATAATTAAGCATATTTGTTATATAGATTTCCAATTACCATGTACAATTATTTTTTAGTATTTAAGATGGTATACATTAAAATTAAATAAACTAGGCATGGTGGTGCGTGCTTGTAATTCCAGTATGTGGGAGGCTGAGGCAGGAAGGGTTGCCATGAGTTCAAGGCCAGCCCAGGCTACATAGTGAGTTCAAACCCAGGCTAAACTATATAGCAAAACCTTGTCTCAAAACAAATAAACAAAGAAAAAATTTTTAGTTAAGTAGTCATTTTAGTTTTTTCCCTAATGTTTGCTCTATAGTGAAATAATGCTTTTAAATTTTTGTACCCCTCTTCCTTTTAGCCTTATTCATGACTAATTTTTAAATTTCTCTTTAAAAAGTTAAATGTTATAAGCTTTTCAATCAGTGTCTCACAAAATGCCTTGAAAAGTTATTTTATAAAAAAAGAAGTTATTTTTATTACTTTCTAAGAGTATTCATTAAAGTGTTTTAAAATACTCTTTTCATCACTAAAAGGTATAGAATGTTTTTTACTGAAAACCTATTTGTATTTATTTTTAAAATAGCAAGCATTATTTAAAGGTTTTCTTAGTGCTAGATGTAAAAAAATGCATCATATATCCTTGTAGGTATTACTTTAATTTTAGCAGAAGTCTTTGAGTGAGAGTTCTATTATTGTTAGTATGAAAATTGAATTTTAGAGGTTAGATAACTAGTTCAAATGGTAAAGTTGAGTGCTGCTATAAGTAATAATTAATAGTTTAGGAAAATTAAGGAAGCCTAACTTCAAGTGATTTGCAAGTTATTTTTTAACTTTTTAAATTTGTGTATATAAATTTTTTTTTTTTTTTACTGAGGATTGAACTCGAGGCAGGTGCGGTGCCACTGAGCTAAATCCCAGAAAAATCAGTTTTAGTTTTACAGGACCTAGTAAAGGGATCCCCCTCAAGCTTTTAAATTACTCAGTTAAAATAATGACATCCTGTGTGATATCACAGGATTTCAAGTAAAAATTTATTTGAACTTACCTAAAAATATTTTATTTCTTAAGAAAAGTTGGTATAATAATGATAAGCATGGCTTTGGAGTCTGAAATCTGCTAACACAAGCTGGGTGTATGGCTGAGCCTTGATTCCCAGTGTACTGTAGTGGAATAAAAAAAAATGTAGATTAGAAAGGACAACCTCTGTTGACTCCTGGCCTTCAGTTCCTCCTTTCTGTGGCTCCTGTTCTTTACACCATTAACATCATTGAATCTTCTGTCCTGGAGCAGCAATTGTTAGAAACTATATTAAGCAAATGACAGATGTTAACTCATGTAATTCTCACAACAATTCTGAACTATTATTCCAGATCTAGAGATGAGAAAACTAAGGCCAAAATATGTAACTGTAGGTCAAATAGGCACCAACAGAATTTGTGTTAAAAAATCATGTTTAAAAAAATTTTTTTATTTTATTGTATCCCACCCCCCCATATACAAAAGCTTTGTTTCCATTTTTTTCCTATTTTCACTTTTTTTCTTGTCCCTACCTTCCTTTGTCCCTCCCTCCTCCCTCCTCCCTTGTTCCCCTGCCCATTTGAACATTTTCTTCTCATTTCCTAATATCTGTTATACATTTTAGTCCTTATTTCCATTTTCAGTTTCTCACACCAGAGAAACAATGCGGTATTTAAACATGTGTGTCCGATTTATTTCACTTAAGAGTATGGTCTCAAGGTCCATTCATTTAGCTATAAATGTCTGAAGCTCATCCTTCTTTATGGCAGAGCAATACTCCATTGTATAAAAAAACCCACATCTTCCTTATCAGTTCATCAGTTGATGGGCATCTGGGGTGTTTCCAAGCTTTATCTATTACAAACTGTGCCGCTATAAACATGGGTGCACATATGCTGCCTTGGTATGATGCTTTTAATTCTTTTAGGAAGATGCCAAGAAGAGGAATAACTGAGTTGAATGGAACCTCTAGTTGTAGTTTTTTGAGAAATCTCCACACTGATTTCCACAGTGGTTGCACCAGTCTACACTCCCACCAATAATGGAGAAGGGTTCCTTCCCCTCCCCGCCGCCCCGCATCCCTGCTAGCATTTGTTGTTGGTTGATTTCTCGATAGTAGCCATTTTTTCTAGAGTGAGATGGAATCTTAGCCTTGTTTTAATTTGCATTTCACAAATGACCAGTGATGTTGAATGTTTTTTCATACATCTATTTGCTGTTTCTACTTCTTTATCTGAGAAGTTACATTTCATTTCAGATTCCCATTTTTGGATTGAGTCTTTAAATTTGGGGGGTCTGATTTTTTTGAGTTCTTTATATATTCTAGATATTAGTCCTTTGAGGAACAGCTGGAAAAATTTTTTTCCTTTACTGTGGGTTGTCTCTTTACTGATGGTGATTTCTTTTCCTGTGCAAAAGCTTTTTAATAAGATGAGATCCCAGTTGTCGATTCTTTGTGATATTTCCTGTGCAATCAGGGTTTTGTTCATAAAGTCTTTGCCTACACCAATGTCTTTGAGAGTTCTCACCTATTCTGTCTTTCAGCACATTTAGTGTTTCTGTTTTAAAATTTAGATCTTTCATTCATTTTGATTTTAGTTTAGTGCATGGTGAGAGATACAGGTCTAGTTTTAATCTTTGGCATGTAGAAAGCCAGTTTTTCCAGCACCATTTATTAAAGAGGCTATGTCTTTCTTCCAATGAAGGTGTTTGGCTCCTTTGTCAAAGATTAGGTAGCTGAGTATGGCTGGAGTTGTTTCTGTATTTTCTAGTCTATTCCATTTGCCAGTACCATGCTATTTTTATCACTGTAGCTTTGTAGTATAATTTAAAGTCAGGGATCGTGATGCCCCCTGCCTTGCCTTTGTTGCCCAGAATTACCTTTACTATTCGAGGTCTGTTCTGGTTCCAAATGAGTTTTAGGATTGTTGTTTTCCTAATTCTGTGAGATATGCTGTTGGAATTTTGATTGGGATTGCATTAAATCTGTACAACAATTTTGGAAGTATGGGCATTTTCACTATATTGGTTCTTCCTATCTAAGAACAAGGGATATCTTTCCATTTTCTGATTTCTTGTTCAATATCCTTTTTCAGAGTACTGTAGTTTTCAATGTATAGGTCTTTTACTTCCTTCATTAGATTGATTCCTAGGTATTTTACTTTTTTGGATGCTATTGTGAAAGGGATTGTTTCCCTCATTTCTCTCTCAGTGAGTTTATTATTCATGTACAGGAAGGCTACTGAAAAAAAAATCATGATTGAAAAGAGTTTGAAAGCCTGTGCTCTTGACCATTATGCCACCCAAGAAATGAATGGAAAGACCCTCTCTCCACAGTGAAAGTAAACATTAGAAAGTCAGGCAAATGAAAATCTTTAGTTTTAGTTACAGTGGATTTAGGTCTTAATTGACCAAGTCCTTTCCTAAGTCCCCTCAGATGTTGGGGCAGTTTCTGAGGGTGGTGAACATAGGTAAACCTTCTGCAGCCAGCTGTTTATCATTGAAACCTCTAAAAGGTTGGTGATCTCTGGAGTCTGTCCTCCCTTTGTCATCTATCTTACTGATAACTGACCCTGCCACTCCCTGCAGAACCCTTTCCTTTGTTCCTTTCATCATTTGGTAAGGTGGCATTTTCATAATGAGAACAAGATGACAGCTGCCAGGTCATTTTTTTTCTTACAGTATTTTAGATATTTTCTTATTAGTGGTCAGTTTTATCACACTGAAGGAGTGATTGGTGTAAGTAGCCCTGGAATTCTGTGTAAGATGTATAAGGTAATCCTTGTGTAAGGTCAGATTTATCACATTTTCCTCAGAGAACTCTTTCTGCTTATCACTTGGATACCTTTTTCTTTTCTGTATAAACTACATTTTAACAGACACATTTATACAGGTGCGTACAATACTCAGGGGCTCAGAATCTTAAAAGACAAATTGAAAAAACATTGGTATTTTGTAAATGTTTATCTGTGTTTCCAGTTACCTGCTAGACATTGTGTTAAGTAATCACATTTTATTTGCATGAATTCTATTTGACAAATTTACTTATCTGATATACTTGTCTTCAGGACAAGAGTGTCAACAAATTAGGAAGTAAGCCATTCTTGTTACATTATTTTATTAAGAAGGGTGTGGTGGTATGAGCCTGTAGTCCCAGGGAAGCTGAAGTGGATCATATGAGCCCACAAGTTTGAGACCAGCCTGAGCAACACAATGAGACCCTGTCTCAAAATTTTTTTAAAAAATGGTATATTTATGTTAATGGTTTTAGTGGGCTCTTTGACTTAACTTTTAGGAAATTTGCAGACTATTTCTAGATAGTACTTAAAGTACTGTGTAGTCTGTAAAGGAAACTTGTTTTTTGTTTCAGTTCTTTTACCAAGATGTACCTTCCCTTACATACTGATTTTATATATTTGATTATTTTCACCTGTATTAAAATGTTTTGAATCTTTATAGTATGTGGGAAAAAGAATTGTGTCATTTTTTTCCCCCTTTTTAAAGATTTTGATGGATCATCAAAATCTGTCAGAACATGTACTCTGCATGGTCTTGTATCTGATTGAATTAGGACTTGAAAATTCTGCTGAAGATGAATCAGATGAAGAGGTAAGTTGTTTTTTATATATTAAAATATTTAGATAGGATGTCATCCCTATCTGGCTATAGGCAATTGTTAGCAGACCAATGTAAAAATATACTTATGAATTCTTCACATTCATGTAGGATCTTCTAAAGAACTACCAGTACCAGAAAAGGCCCTGTTGGTCTCCAAATACATATAGATCTTTTAGAGCTTGCATTGATACTTATGAAATTATTTTATTTATAGAATTTTAGAATTTGAGATTTATTGTTCACATCACAAAAATTAACCTAAGAAATGGTTGATATATTTTGGTATTATGGTAAAAATGATTAATTCTAATAATTTGATCAAAGATTATTTTTGAGTAGGACATTCTTTCAAGATTTTAAGATAATGGAATAAATAAATGAGAGAAGGTTTAAAGTTAGTTAAGAATACAACTTGTTAATGTATTTCAGGACTTTAGAAGTACTTCCAAAAAAGCAATTGCTACCACAAATTAATTTTACTAATGTAAGATTCTTTTCATCTCCTACCCAGAAAGACAAATACAACACAGCATAATAACAAAAAACCCTAGGTACTACTTTGTATTCTAAGCTGCATCAACTTGTATTTTTTTTTTCCCAGATATTAACATGTTCCTGTTGGCTTGAACCACTGGTGGTGCATGCATGACTCCCATTGAGGGGCTCTTTATTAATTTTATTAGTAAAAAGACTGATCAAAGTGATTAGATCTGCTTGTATCCACAGTGTTACAAGCTATTCAGTGGACAGTCATGCATGTACTGGTGTTTGAAGTCACATGTATGGTAGTTCAAGCTGCCTTGGTGGTGGGACATAAGAATTTCAGCCCCATGGTGAATGTGTTAAAAGGCCATTAAGATTCCTTTAGGTCATACTTTTGGTTGATTTTTCGCTTTTTTCCATACTTGGTCCAAACTAGCATTATTTAACTATATTATGTGTTATTACTAATGGGTGATGAGTAATATTTGGAGGCATGAGGATTACAAGTTTGAGCCCAGCCTGGGCAGATTGGTGAGTTAGTGAGACCCTGTCTCAAAAAAAAAGGGCTGGAGATGTAGCTCAATGTGAAGGCCCTGAGTTCAGTCCCCAGTACTGGCCGATAGGGGAGGGAAGAAAGTATACTATAGTGTTAAGTATTTCCAGATTGAAAATGTGTGTTTTAGTTGTTTGATAATTTCACTGAACTTAGCCATATTACTATTGAGAAATTTATTATTGTATTTATTATTCAATTTGGTTTTATTTATCTACTTTATAATTTGTAGATGAGACTATAAAGGAATTTAGGAGTATGACAAGCAGTAGATGATTTTTTGGGGGCTCGTTACATCTCCCTTGTACCTTACAACTGAAATGATAAGCTTTCATAATGGTTGTTTTTGTTTTAGGTATCAGTGGATGGACCAGAACGATGTCATGACAGTTGGTTTCCTGGGAGTAACTTAGTATCAAACATGCGACACTTTATAAACTATGTTAGAGTGAGAGTTCCAGAGACTGCTCCTGAAGTGAAGAGAGACCCACCTGCAAGTACAAGCTCTGATAGCTTGGGTTCGTTACAAGTAAGTGTGAAAGTAAAAAGAAACATTTATTTATTTATTTTATTTTATTTTATTTTTTTCGGTACCAGGGATTGAACTCAGGACCTTGCGCTTGTGAGGCAGGTGCAGTGTCACTGAGCTAAATCCCCGTCCCAAAACACTTTATATTTAAATATTGGGAGATATTGTTTGGATCACCTTGTGATAGCCCAAGGGAAAAAGAAATGTGGTTATAGATAACTATAAATTATTTTGTGTTTCCTCTGATATATTTAAGCAACTTCTGCCTCACTAGTCTTTTTCCTTTAACCTGCCAGAATTCACGACCGCCTAAAGTTCTTCAAAGAGAGGTAGATGTGTATGATGTTTGTGTTAACTAGCAACATGGCTTTAACTGGAAATGAGAAAGAAAATAAAAAACCACTTTGAAGTATTTGTGTGTGTGTGTGTGTGTGTGTGTGTGTGTGTGTTTGATTAATATGGCCAAATTAAAAACAAATTTCATGGGCTAAGTGCTACAGTACTTGCCCAGCACACATGGGGGCCTGGGTTCTATCTTCAGCACCCTAGCCCCTGAAAAGTTTCTTTAATTTATGTGGTTTTTTTAAAAGCAAAGCTATTTAGTCTTCATTTTAAAGAAAATTTGCATTATCATTGCTTTCAAAAATAAAATAATACTGAGAAGTTAATAATGTATTTTTCTTATTAGTGTTAGAAGTACTTTGGACCAGTTATAGCAGCACATTTGGATTTATTTACATTTAGCTTTGCAGCAGTTACTAACATCTTAAAAATGACTCCACTGTTTCTTAAATAAAAATAAATTTAATAGCATGTCCATTTAATAATACTTGTTTTGCTTCTATGGCAATTAATTTACTTTGATAAGATGAGCCCATAAAATCTTAAACTCTACATATTGTGTATTTGGACTCATTTTGAAAAGCAATCCTCAGTGCATGTAGCTTAATTAATTTTACTTAAAGCAGAAATGAAAAATTTGAAATGATATGTGAACTCACTAAACTTAAGCTTAGTTCCTACAAACTAGATTTTTTTGTGAGTATTGAATCAGACATTTTTCATAGTAGAGTCTATAAAAACTTTGTTAACATGTTTTTGCTGTGAACATCATAAGGGGATGATGGAATCTCTGTAAGAGCAAGCGTTTGCCTGTCTTGAAGGTAGAGATTACTTTAAAAAGAGCTTGGATGGAAAAAAAAATAATGTATACTCCAATTTAGAGCATCCTTTCTATGTTCACTTTAAAAACTAATGAAATCCATTAAAATGACTCATATCTTAATTAAAAGATGATTTCTGGGAGTCCTAATGCAGTTTCACTGCTTTAGCAAAAAGAGCTACTTAGAAGGTAAATTATTGAGGAAAACACTTATTTAAAAAAATCTATTCAAATAACAAATCACAGTGTTATTCAGATGTAAAGCAAATCAATTTAATATTTTACTCTTATATTTCAGTGTAATAACTAAGCATTTGTGAGAAGTAATTTTCAAACTTTTGAAGTTCCTTAAAAGTGAAATTAATTACCAGTTCAGATTCATTAATTTAGAAAATTAAAAAAATTAACATAATTTTCTTGACAGGGAACTATAACAATCTTTCTGAAATTAGTGAAGAGTATATTTAGTTTTCCTCATGAATGGTGAATAGAACAGCTTTTCTTCCTTTAAATTGGAAAAATTTAGTTTATGATTTCTCTTCAGCATGGCTATAGGTATTGGTTAAGTTTTATTTATTTTCCTTTGTAGATATACTCGGGAGGTTTAGAAAGAGATGTTATTGCTAATAATCTTTTTGCTCATTGCTATTTCCAGATTGAATGGGACTAAGTCTATTTGAGAAAGAGGTGAAGGGACAGGTTTTAAGAGCCAAACTATTGAATAAATCTTTGGATGACACTTTGAGCATTTCATTTAGAAATGTAGTAATAACTTTTTTAGAATTCATGCTGAATAACTTCTCTTGATTTCTTTCTCATTCTTACTGGTAGAATTCTGGCACAGCTCAAGTTTTTAGCTTAGTAGCAGAGCGTAGAAAGAAATTTCAGGAGATCATCAATCGCAGTACCAGTGAAGCAAATCAGGTGGTTCGTCCCAAAACTTCAAATAAATGGTCTGCTCCCGGATCAGCTCCCCAGTTAACAACAGCCATTTTGGAAATTAAAGAAAGCATATTGTCTTTGCTTATTAAACTTCACCACAAACTCTCAGGAAAACAAAATTCCTACTATCCTCCTTGGCTTGATGACATCGAAGTTTTAATTCAACCAGAAATTCCTAAATACAGTCATGGAGATGGTATAACTGCAGTAGAAAGAATTTTACTAAAAGCCGCATTGCAAAGCAGAATGAACAAACGCATCATTGAAGAGATATGTAGAAAAGTGACCCCTCCTGTACCACCTAAAAAAATCACTGCAGCAGAGAAGAAAACTCTGGACAAAGAAGAAAGGTAATTTTATTTTTAATGTTTTAAATATGCATGGTACAGTTGAAGGTTGACTTAATTTTCTGCTTTTTGGCTCCAGTCATAGCTGATTAGTTTGTAAGAAAAATGGAATTGAAAATGGTCAGCACTTACAGACTTAGTATACTGAATTCCATAGGGATGAGATGATGAGTTTCTGGCCCCCAAATTAAATTACTACTTTAAGTTTGTAGGGTTCTTTGGAAAAATTGCTACTGTTGTTATTGCTAAGAGGATCTAATATTTTTCTTGCTATTTTCAAAAACCATCTATTCAATTTTACATGAGAATAGAAAAATATTTCAAATATTTCTCAAAATCCAATTATTTTAATTCCTTTTGGTCCTTTAATCTTTACCAATATATAATTATTATTTAAAAAGATAGTCTTACTTATACCTCTAGCTTTTGGACTTTTAGGTTGTCATTACATCATAATTTTTTCTTTTTGGTACCAGGGATCCAACTTGGGACCTTGTGCTTGCAAGGCAGGTGGTGGCACCACTGAGCTAATAAATCCCCGGCCCTAAATCATAATATTTATGACCCCCCCCCAACTTTGATATTCTTTCTTGGAATGTTGTTTTTATAAGTGGGATTTGTAGGTTACAGGATAGGAACATGGTATGGATCCTAGCACATGTTGTTTGCTAAAGTTTTTGTTAGAGTTGTATTACTGTTACTGTGCGCTGTCACCAGAGTTGTTTTCATTGCCCACCCTGCTGTCTTAAACATGACAACATGAATCCTGAGTGACTGGGAAGGTGTGTATGTGTGTGTGTGAGAGAGAGAGAGAGACAGAGAGAGAGACTTTCTAATGAATTCACATAAAAGCTAAAAGACAGGACATTACAAAATTTTTTCCGGATGGAATTCAAGATTGTCATTGCTCACTTCTCTGAGGTTATAAATAACATTCTCTTGATTTAATTTCTCTAAAACAAATTTGTCTATGCAGGCAACAATTATATTAACCATATAATTACATACTTCCCCTTATAGAGAGTTGAAAAGGATTATCTCAGTATTATTTTAAGAACCTTAGACTTGTTTTCTAAGTCCTCTCTTTTTGCTGGTAAAAATCATTGTTAACATGTTGTCTGTACTGTTTTGAGCAGTATGAAAAAGACATCATTTGATGGTCTGAAGTGTACTGTAGAGTTGTTTTCTGGAGTAATTCCATCTTTGTAGTTACTTTTAATACTAAATATAGGCAGTTATGGGTTGACTGGTCAGGGGAAACCTAACATTGATTTTACATTAACAATCCCCACCCCTTTATTGAGCATTAACCAGGTTCTTTTCTTCATGTAGAATATAAAGCTGTATCTAGTGGTGGACTCCCTGCCCTTGAGGAATTGATACTATAGTGAGGAGACAGACTACTAAACAGATAGTTGGTAGTGTAATAAATACTATGTTTGGTGCACAGAGTGTTACTGGGAGTAGTAGGACATAAGGGCGAGAAAATAACCAGATATCCTAGAACTGGCACTTAATGTAAATGATTACAGGCAAGCCATCGAAGGATTTTTAAGGAGGTTGATATGCAGTGAAATCACATGCCGATGGATTAGAGTGGGGTAAGACTGGCACCTGGGAGATCAGGCAGTTTAACAATCTAGGTGGGCAGGTGTGATGAGGGAACTAAGATGATAATAAGGAAAGGAGGAGATGTATATGAGATATTTAGTGGCTACAGATTGTTAGACTTGATGATCAGTATGATATGGGAGCTGAGGGAGAAGTCATAAATTGTTCCCGCAGTTCTAATTGGTTAACTTTTTTGTTTGTTTTGGAGACAGGGGCTCGCTATGTAGTTCAGGCCGGCCTTGAACTTGTGGCAATCCTCCTGCCTTAGCCTCCTGAGTGCTGGAATTGCAGGTGGGCGCCATCGCAGTTGGCTCCTGCAGTTCTCTTTGGATGTGCTTCCTGTTCACCAAAATGAGGAGTTTTAGGAGGGGGCACAGGTTTAGCAATAAAATTGATATGCTCAGTTCTGGCCATTAATGAGTTTCAGAGGACATCCAAGTGAAGATTTCTAGTTAGAGGGTTTGTGTTTTAGGGGAGAGTTCTTAGAGCTATGGAATTTTTTCAAAGAGGTACTAGTGGAAGCCTTGTATTATGGGAGAGTATGCATAGTAAGAAGATAAAAGGATTTACTATAGAACTTCAGGACAAACACTAAAGGGAATGGCTCGGAAGGGAAACCTTCAAAGTTGACTGAAAGAAGTGACTGGAGTGGAGTAGGAGGGAAACTGGAATGAGTGGCATTAGAGAGGGCACAAGAGGGAGACAATTCAGACAGAAGAAATTACTAAGATTGTTCAGTATCTTAAGAGTTCAGATAAGATTGGCAGTCCCATTTGATTTGCTGGTTAGGAGGTCATCCTTTGGTAATAGTATCAAGAGTAATTTTAGTTACATATGTAGTGACTGTGCTTCATCTCTGGGGTAATAAGTTTGTAGCAGAAAATTCGTATTAAAGGTGGACACAAAAGCCTATGTAGATTAAGGATTTAGGAACATTTCTGTTCCTTTATATTGTACTTTACAAATAGGAGTTATAAAGAAATAAGCTATAATTTAGATGCTAGCTTTATTACTTTTAATGTAGTAACTGCCTAGAATTAATCTAATAAAAGTGGAAGACTGAAAACAAGGTAAGATTTTAATTTTTGTTAATCTTTTCTAAATTAGTGGTGTTTCCTTCTGATTATATTATAGTGTCTTTTTTTCTTCTTTCTTTTTTTTTTTTTGGTACCGGGGATCAAACTCAGTACCTTGCACTTGTGAGGCAGGAGGCGGCACCACTGAGCTAAATCCCCAGCCCTATAGTGTCTTTTTTTAAAACATGGAAGATAGAGATTAGGTGAATCAAAGCTTATTAAGGATATTTTGTATTTATTACTAATAACATGTATACTGGTGGACATAGTTTAGATTTTTAAAAATAAAGACCTGAATGCTCTTGTAATAAATAATACTACTACTAATAAATAATAAAAATTTTAGACTTCCTTTGTGATAAATTTTATTTCCTTTGAGCAGTTATGATACTGACATGCACTTGAAACTAATTCTGTAGTAGACAGGTAAGAATTAAGATGTCGTTTTCACTTGTGTATTCTTTGTTAGATTAAGTTTGATAATAAAGGTAGAACACTTCATAAACACTTAATGATGATCCATTTTCATGTACTCCACTTATAGACAAACTTAGTATCCCTTTCATGATAAATTAACTCAATAGAAAACAAGTTATGAACTGGAAACTTTTTTTTTTTGTACCGGGGATCAAACTCGGGTCCTTGAGCTTGTGAGGCAGGCGGCAGAACCACAGCTAAATCCCTGGCCCCACAAACTGGAAACTTTTGATGGTTGTAATAATATGCAATATCAGTGTCTTCATCTCCAGGATAATAGTAGGAAATTTCTGAAATGTGCTGAATCTACTAAAAGTTGCTTATGTCTTGTATTAATGGTCTTTATTTATACTTATACCCAATTTTAATAAAGGAATAGCCTAGATTAAGAAAAAAATTCCCAACAATGACATTCCATTTCTGGTTACATAGAAAACTGATATAAAGAATGCATCTTAATTCTAATGTCAAGCAGTTACACTTGAAGTTTTCTTATTTTTGATGTTTAGATTTAAAATACTCTCTATGGACATGTTTATTCTAAAAGTTAATAAACATGTTTAAAGGTGAACTGTAGAATGGCATTACTTAAAGAAGGATACCAAATCTTATAAATTGACAAAGTACTGATATAGGAGATTAAACGTATATTCTATCAACATGCTGTTGTTCCTCATAGCATTTTTGGAGGTCAGTTAGAATTCTTTGAACATCTGTGGCACTTTTTTGTTTGCTTTCATATCTTCCTCTGTAGTAAATATTTGAAAGTATTTGGGACTGGACTTAATTTTCATAAACTTTTTATTTCAAAACAATCTTAAACTAACAGAAATGTTTTAAGGACAATTCAGGGAACTTCCTAAAACATTTCAGAGTAAGTTGCTGGTGTGCTTCTTCTCTTTAGAATATTTTAGTATGTATTCCCTAGAAATTAAGACCTTTTCCTACATAACCGCATTGCTTCTATCAAAATTAGAAAATTAAGGCAGGTGTGGTGGCATGTGACTGTAGTCAAAGTTACCAGGGGGCAGGAATGTGATTTGAGCCTAAAAGTTGAGACAAGCCTTGGCAATATAGTAAGACTCCATCTAAAAAAAAAAAAAAAAGGAATTAACATTGTATTTGAGTATGATTAAATCCTTAGATCTCAAGTTTGAATGCTTGTTTAATCTGGTTCATAATCAACCATTGCATTTAATTGTCTTTTTGTCTCCTGCAATAAACTGTTTCTTCAGTTTTTATTTTGGCACTGCTGATGATTATTACAGTATAGAAGGAGCATTATAGAATGTCCTTCAATTAGAATTTGCCTGTTTAGCTTCCAGTTATGTATCTTTGGCAGGAATGTCAATGAAGTATTGTTTTCTTTTCATTGCATCTGATCAGGTGTCACATACTTTCAATTTGTTTCATTACTGGTGGCTAAATTTGATCACTTGATTTAGGGGATGTCTTCCACACTTTCAAGATTAAATTACTTTTTCATTCCTTGTGATTAACATGTAATTTATGGAGCAATACTGTGACATACAATGATGTTCCATTACTTACATACTTTCAATATACTATTCATTTAGTTTTATTAATATGAGCTCATGGGTTCCTATTTTATCTTATGGGTTATAATCAGATGTGCTTATTATTCATTTTGATGCTCAAATTATTCTAGATTTCCCAGGTTACACTAGGAGTTCCTTCAAGCTGGTTTTTGTGTCCTTTTGCTCTATCCCCATAATTCTTTGAGCATGTTCTTATTTTCTAGGACAATTAGATCTTCTAGGCTCATCTTCTACTTGAAGTTGGCCATTTCTCCAAGGAGTCCTGGTGACTTTTAGTAGAAAACAGTATTTAGAAACCATAGTCCATGTGCTTATTCTAATGGGGAATAGCTGTTTTCAGGTCCTCTTAGAGCTGGGTACAAATGAGTGTGTGTCTCTGTATGTCTTTGTTTGCATTGGGGGTGGGAGAGGGAGAAATTTATTTTCATGTCTGTCTGTATATTTTGAAACTTCTTAGTTTATCCTAATACTTATAATTCCAATATGATACCATAGGAATAAGTTTTGTTTTCCTTCTTTCCGTGTTCATAACTCATAATCTCCATCCCTTCTGTATATATGAAACATTTTGATCATTTCCCAAGTATATAGACAATTTCTTGCAATCTTTCCCCATACGAGTGCCTTCTTATGCCAGGCTGTTGGGTCCTGACACCCTCTACCAGGCAGTGGTAGCCACTTTTTATGTTTAGGAAGGCAAGAGAGGGGAGGGATAGAGTTATTTTTCTGAAATGATCAATGTCATTCAGAATTAACTTTGATGAATAAGGTGAGTGATTACCCTGGATAATATTTGAGTTCAAAAACAATGTAAAAGAGTTATAGTTATAAAATGATGAGGCAGATTTTCTTATATGGGTCCTAAATTATCTATAGAATAAATGTTAGAATATTAAAAATCTTTTAAACATTATTGACAAAAATGTATAACTTCTTATGGTAGGGTGAACCACGGTACTTTATTATTAGCACTAATCTGGTGAGAGCAGATGTACAAATAATAAAAAAAACTATTATTAGTGTTTCATTTTTCTAAGTACTGCGCTATCTTTGAGTCATTTCAGATTAATAAAAATACTTTAGGCTCTTCATAGAAATGCCTACATAGCATCTCTGTTTAACACAATGATTTAACTTTTAATAGTCATTAAAAGAAACTGCTCTAGTATACTTATTATGTCCTTATCATGGGCTATGATCTGTTCCTCTTTGTTCAACTTATAACTTGTCTTTTTTCTTTTTTTTGGTACTGGGCATCGAACTCAGAATCTTGCGCTTGCGAGGCAGGCAAAGGAACTACTGAGCTAAATGCCTGGCCCAACTTGCCTTTTTAACCTTTTTCTTTTCTTTCCTTCTTCTCCTTTCCCTCTTTTTAGAATTACTATTTTAACCTCTTACTAGAAGTAAATTTTATGCTCACTAGTATTGTTAGTATCTCATGATCTGGGCAAGTCTGTCTTCTTTATTAGTTTACTTTTATTTTTTTATGTTGTGGTCCTGTTGAATTGGTATCAGTAGATTTATTTATTTGCAACCAATCTCAAATTAAAATATTCTTAGGAACTAGGTAAGAAATAGATAAAGGATAAATATTAAAAATGTAATGAATTAATCCAAAGGAATATTTATAGGTAGATTTGGAATATGTTTTTATTCTTTGTTGTGTTTGAAACCCTTTCACATTCTTTTATTTCCAAATAAACCAAACTTGGAATATCTCTTCATAGAAACTGGGAAATTTATTGGCTTCTACTCATTCTCTATTTTGTTGATATCTAAACATCATGGCTTTTTTTTCCCCTGGTACTGGGGATTGAACTCAGGACCTTACGCTTCCCAGGCAGGCACCAGCCATATCACTGAGCTACATCCCTGGGTCAACATCATGGGTTTTCATAGCAACCAATTTACTGTCATTTGTGCCTGGGCTTAAATTGTTGGTCCCTTGCTGAAAAAGACTCTTCTTGCTGTTATTCCCATCTGACATATACCCAGGAACTTGTGTTGTTGAAAAATCCAAATTTTCTATCTACTTTATTATTTTACATTTTAAATTAAATCTTAGCTTTTATTTTTACTTGAGTCAGTGAGATTCAAGCCTTTTTAAAGCAGTAAAATCCTTAAAAACAATCAAATCTTACATGTAATTTAATACATAATCTAGAAAATAGATTGTTCTCTACTATATGACAGGCTTTTCATATATATTCCTCAAGACAGTAAAATAGTTTTAAACATATTTGGTACTTATAACTTTATTTCTGTTTAATCTAGGCGACAAAAGGCTAGAGAGAGACAGCAGAAATTGCTTGCAGAATTTGCTTCACGACAGAAAAGCTTTATGGAAACTGCAATGGATGTTGGTAAGTCAAAATTTTTTAGTTTAGAACTTTCATAATTACAGTTATTACGTGAGGGATGATCTAGTCAAATCTTCCACTGTTTGTAAAGATTACAGACAGATGATTTCTAGTCTCTATTTAAACGACAGAGTGTTGAGGGACCAGATTTTCATTATAGACAGTCTATTCAGTTGTTGAGTAGCTGCAGTTGTTGGGAAGATTTTCCTGATGGTAGCAGTATAGTAAACTTCCTTTGTTCTCTTCTGTGTAATTATCCCTTAGATTTGTGAGGTCCATCAGTATGTATTTGCTTATTTATTTTGATTGTTTCCCATGTAATTACTCTAAGATCTTTATAATAGTTTTCAAATACTTTTAGTGTCTTCTCTTTCTGCCCACTCCTTCAGTAGTTCTAAAACTCAGGTGTAATTTTTACTTCCATTTTAATTAGCCTGAGGATTTTTACAATGTAAAGGAATGCAATATTCCTGTATATTGGTAGATTGCTATGCATAACCTTTTACAAACATGAAGGAAAAGACTAAATTGTAGTCTCAGTCTTGGGTTAACCAGGATGCTCCCTTCCATGACTATGATTTCTCTCTATTCCCTTCTGCTCCCTTCCCCTCCCTCCTTCCCTTTCTCTTTCCCTTCCTTCCCTCTCTTTCTGCTTTCCCGCTCTCTTTTTTTCACTTTCTTCCCTACCCTTCTTCTCATCTCCCTTCTCCTCCATTCCTCTCCCAGACAAGATTCGGGGGGAGGGTGGTGGCGGCAAAAGCCATGCATTTAGTACACACACATATTCAAACATGCATGTATATTTTCACACCTTTTTGTGCATATAAGCGTATTTAACCAGTGTCTAAAAGAAGAGTAGAAAAGGGGTCAGTCCAAATTTAGCCTGATGTCTTCTAAATGATTAACAGTGAAATTTACGTTTAGGCCATAACTTTGATGAAAAGAATATTTTGATGATTCTGTTCATGGGATTTAGTATCAGTTGATTTTCTCGTTATGAAAAACAAGGGTTTGTGCTTGCTTCAGCAGCATATACTGAAACTGGCAAAACAAGGATTTAGTTCATTGATACTACTTTATCTTTTCCCATCTCTTTTTCTTCTTCTCTTGCAAACTGGTAATTGTTTTTACATATTTAATGTGTTTATAATAAATACAGTACTCAGTATCTCGGTACCCCTTTATATAAAATGAACTAATAAGCACTTCTGCCCTTCTTTTTATTTTTCTATTCCTAATCTCTTCCTTTTGCCTTTTACCAGCTACTTGTTTACTTTTTAAATTGTCAAGATTGCTACAGTTGCAATAATGTCTTCTATCAAAGGTTGACTGTAACACAATGGAGAGTATTTGTATTAGTATTACTTTGTTGAGTTCAGGGCTAAATAATATACTAGCAACCATTTACTTCTTTCGCATCTGGTGGCCTGATTGCTGGATCACTTTAAGGAGACTGTCTTTGGTACCTAGCCTCTTGTCTTACAGTTCCTAGATTGCTAAAATTCATAGAACTTTATATTTATTTATGTTTGGACCATGACTTATTATGTTGCCTTTTGTTTTCCCTGAAGTTTCTTTTTTTTTTTCCCCCTGAAGTTTCAACTGCCCTTTTTTATTTTATTTTATTTTAAAAATTGTATTCTGATAATATCTTTATTATGTTTCTATTATTCTGTTCACTTAATCATCCTATTCTTTGCATGAAATACTTCTGCATTGGGGTCCATTTGCTTCCTTGAGATAGGTTTCCTGCATCTTTTCCCCTCCCCTTGCCTCCCCTCACCTCCTTTTTTTGTTGATTTGCATCCTTAAGTATATTTCTCATAGTGTTTGTGTGGAGGCTAACCTGATTCTTTGTATCTCTAGAAGGGACTTTAGTCTGTTGTCACACTTGATTGTTAATTTCGATGGATATAGAATGCCAGGTTGATGATAATATTTTCTGTCAAAACTGAAGGCATTGCTCCTTTGTCTTTTACCATGTATTTAATGAGAACTCTGACAGTAATCTGATTTTTACATATTGTAGGCAAGCATTTTTCCCTTCTCTGTGATGTTTTTATGATTATCTGATTCATAGAGATATAAAAGTTTATCATCATTTGTTTTTATGAGGATTTTCTCTTTTTTATTTCTTTTTTTAGGACTTACTGTATCATTCTGATCTACAGATTCCTATTTCTAAAGCTCTAAGAAAAAATTTCTTGTGATTTTTTTGATGATTGATATAACTATCTTCCAGGATAATCCTCAGTGATCCTTGCCTAGTGGTATTTGTGCCTTGTGCAGTTTTCTTCCCCATCACATCAGCACTGCATGACCATGGAATATGGCAGAAGTGACCATATGTTATTTTGAGATCTACTCTATGAAAGACATTATGACTTCTGTCTTGGTTGCTCTGTCTGTCTTGAAGTACTCATGCTAGAGGAATCCAGCTGCCGTGTCATGAGCAGGCCTGTGAAGAGAACTGAGAGGTATCTGGCCAACAGCCATGTGCATGAGATTGGATGTGATGATCCTCTGCTAAGTAGGCCTTTAGGTGACTATGGCTGACTCATAGTTTGGCAGCAGTTTTAGGAGAGAGCCTGAGCTATGACCAGCCATAAAGCTAAGCTGCTTCCATACAACTCACTCTCAGAAACTGTTAAATAAATGTTGTTTTAAGTCACTGAGTATTGGGGGTAATTTGTTGTTGAGAGATACTGCAATATTTTTCTCCTTACATTTTATTCTCTTTTTAGGGATTTTAAGTTGGATGTTAATCTCCTAGATGGATCTCTTAAATTTTTTATGTCATTTATCTTTTTTAATTTTCTTTTTACTTTACATACTAAGAGATTTCCTTTCTTCAGTATCTTTCTTTGTATATAGAAGTTGTTTTTTTTTAAATTTCTGAATGTGTTTGGAGTGTTTTTTTGTTTTCTTCTCTAAATTATTCTTTATCCTTTTAAATTACTTTTAAAATTTATAGCAGTCATGTTGCTGGTTTTCTGCATTTGGCTCATGATCCTTATAGGGGAGAGGCAGGTTGACCCTCAGACTTCAGTTAGGGGTGGGAGGACAGTAGACCCCTCTGTGTTTGGGCCCCAAATGCTAACACTCATGTCAGAAGCCCCAGTCCTCTCCAACCAGCTTGTTCAGTTTCTTTGGAAAAGAAATTTCAATGTCAAGCCACTTGAGTGTTCTGTTTGGTCAGGGATTAGGGCTGCTAAGTAATGAAGCATATATATAGTCCTTCAAATAATTACTGTTTTCAGAGTCACCTCACCCAGTGACTTCTGCTCTCTGCTTTACTGGCTGATTCTGAGCCAGGGGTTGACATTGTAATGGACAGATAAAGTTTTTCTTTTGTGTAATTTTCTCATAGCATGTAGGTAGTTGCAGCTTTTGTGGCTTTCATGCTGAAAGCATGTCTTCCTCTCCTCCAGTCCTTCAAAAATTTTATTGATGTATCTTCTTCATTGGTGAAACTTTCCCCAACACTTCATTCTTTTCCTATATTCTTGTAGGACTCTTTCTTCATGTGTTTCTCTATTATCATTTCAGTAGGATTTTTTTTTTTTTTTTTAGAATGAAAGAGAAAGCATGTTCAGCCTGTAATCTTGAATCAGGTATAGATGCTTGATGACTTACAATAAACCCATTGTACATATTGTCAAGTTGAAAATGCATCTGGTACATCTAACATGATGAACGTCATAGCTTAGTAATGTAGTCCACTGTGGAGCATTCATTTTACTCCCCTGATCACTTGGCTTACTGGGAGCTGTGACTCTTTACCACTGTCTAGCATTTTGAGAATATCATACTTTATTTGCTAGCCCAGGAAAAGATCAAAATTCAAAATTTGAAGTATGGTTTCTATTGAATGTGCATTGCTTTTGCACAATTGTAAAGTTGAAATATCAAGTCAAATGGTTATTAAGTCAAGGACTAGTTTGCACTTGGTAATATGTATTGCTGTAGGTATAAGGTTAAAATTTCTGTTATTACAAAAACATTAAGTTTTCATTCTAGAAACTTGGAAAACATGAATAACAACAACAACAAAGAAAGTGAATAATATTATCATTTTACTACCCTATTTCCTAAGCTAGGCTGTATTCTTATATTTTTCTAAGTATATATGTATTTAAAAATGCATTTTTTACCAAAATGAAATAATTTCAACATGCAATTTTCTTCTTATGAAAAATTCTAAACATAAAGCACCTGAAAAAAAGTATCGTGAACAACTATGTGAACAACTTATAGAACCATCACCTCATGAACATTTTTCTGTCTTGTCCTTTTCATTCTCTCTCTCTCTTTCTCTTTCATAAATGAAGTAAATTGCAGGCATCAGTTTGCTGTTTTACTTGTCAAACTTAAACATTCATGTCCTAGGAATTAAAAATATTTTTCCTACACAAATACAGTACATCATACCTAAGAAAATCACTTTTCCTACAAAATAAAATAACTTTAAGATATCAGACTTGTATTATGTTAAATGGCAAAATATTAAGTTAAAATTATTATAGATTATTTTCTTTTTTAATGCACTTTACTAATGGGTGTATAGCTATGTTCTGAAGTCACTCAAAGTCTTTTTATTGTGAGGTGATTTATCTAGTTTGACATAGTTGTTTTATTCCTTTCAGTTTGTTCACAATTTTAGGAACTAAGAAAGAGAGCCTAGTTAATACTTTTAGAAATTGTTTTTATCTTCTGCCTCCCACTCCTAAGTGAGATAAAACAAAAATGAGTTTCTGAGAAATTGATTATGCAATGTACCCAGAGGAGATTGGATGGTGTCCTCAATAGGGGAAAGGTCACTTCATCCCACTGAGGAGATGGAGGGAAGGAGGAAAAAGTGGAAGGAGATAGAGGTAAGTTCCATTGGGTACAGGGAAGTGGGATGTTCAGGAGGATTGCTTTTGATTGCTTCAGTTTTCAGGGTTAAATAAAAAGTGAGTTCTACTAGGTGAAATTGGAGAGTGGTAGATATTGTTTATGAA